AAAATAGGCCTTACTAGCTATATTTCTTATACTATATATAGACAAAGGATTAAAGGGGTAAAGTAATAGTATTAGTTAAATCTAGGCTATTATATATAGCTAGCGCTTTATAAAGCTATTACTTTATATAGATTTAGTATACTATAGCTATTACTTTCTTAATTACTTTAGTATACTATATAGTAGTTATAGTAGATAGTAACTTATTAGTTATTTAGAGGTATATACTAAAGACAAAGAGAGTTAAGATAAGGCTATTTAGGCTAGTAGTATTATTAATTATTTTAATAATAAGTTAAAAAGTAACTTTAGGTTTAGTACTAGTTTTTTTATAAATAATCTTAAAAGTATAGTAAAGGGGTATATAATAGTACTTAATTTTACTAATACTATAATAGGCTTTAATAAGTACTTCTTTTACTTTAATAAATAGCCTATAGGTAGTATATTTAAACTTACTAAAGTAAAAATTTAGGCTAATATTAGTTATTATTTAATTAAGTAGACTAAGATATATATTAATCTAGTATATCTATAGTGCCTCTTATATATACTTTATAGTAATAAATTATAAAAATCTTACTATATTAAATACTATTACTATATTAACTATATAAAGTACTAGTTTATTACTATTAAGATATATTATATTAATAAAGATCTTATAGTAAAACTTATTATTATTATATAGTATAAACTTAAAGTAACTAGGTGCTTTAGAGTATAGTTAGTAGTAGTAGTAGTACTTATTAATAGTTTTAATTAATAAAAGGGAGGTATTTTCTTTAGTATATTTAAGTAACTTATTAAGTTATTAAATAAATAAGTAGCTAAATTACTAGTAGATTTAGTATAATTTACTATCTATTAGGTATTACCTAGTAATACTTTTCTCTAGTAGTTATAAAAGTATTTATAGGTAGCTAAATTAGTAAATAATAAGTATAATATTATTACCTTAGATTAGCTAGTTAGTAAGGTTATTAAATTTTATACTATAATAGTTTATATTTTTAAAGTAAAAAAGAAATAAAGTATTAGTAGTTATTATATAAAAAATAAGGTTACTAAGTAGTATAAGTATATTAATTACCTCTAGGGATTTAAAGTAATTACTACTACTAAAGTAAATACTTACTTTACTTACTTAGGTAGTATTTATAGCTATCTTTTTACCTAAGTAGTACTAGAAGGTAAAGTATTACTTATAGTTAGTAGTTAATCTCTTAGCTATACTAGTATTAGGTATAATACTATAAAAAGTTACTACTAAGTAATACTTATTAAGTATAAATATTTTATTAGTTTTTATAGTTTTACTAAGTAATAGCTTTTTTAGTAGGTTCTTATAAGTAAGTATATAAGTAGTTACCTAGTTATATAACTTAGAGAATATAGTTAGACTATTAATTAATAGTTATATAAAAAAGATAGTAAATATAAAAAACACTATATTTATATAGTTATTATTATTACTAATAGGTTATTTATTACTATTACTTACTTCTTAAAGGTAACTTATATTATAACCTTTATAGTTAAGAAGAAAGTAGTTAAAGGTAGCTAGTAAAGCTTATATAAAGTAAGTGCTTTTATACTAGTTAAATAAGGATTACTACTCTTCTTTAGTATATTTAGTTAACTAATAACTAGGCTTACTATAAATAAAGTACTTCTTAATTAATTTATTACTATACTAGGTTTTACTATAGTAGTTACTTTATAAAGAACCTTATATTTACTATAAATTAATATAAGTATTATAGCTATTATTATACTTATAGTTAACTTAAAATTACTTATCCTCTATAGTAGATTTATTTATAAGGTATTATATAAGTAGCTTATAGTAAAGTAAAGTATTTACTACTTTATTATATAGTTATATATAGAGGCTATAGAATATAGCTAGTAAGTTAAGAAAGGCTATAGTATACTTAGGTATACTATAGTAATAAATAATAAGGCACTTATAATAATCCTTATCCTTAGGTAGACTATTATAAGTAGTTACCTTAATTAGCTTAATAACCCTTTTAATAAGTAACTTAAGGATCTTAAGCTTATTCTTACTATAGTTTTTATAAGTAATTAAGTTAAATAATATATAATAAAGCTTAGTAATATAGGCTAAGTATACTTTATTACTTTTAAATTATTTTTTAAGCTTTACTATTAGAGTATTAAAATTATCTACTTATTAGTAAAAAGTAAAAGTATAATACTTTTATAGTTTACCTTAGAGTATTACTTAAATTACTATACTATAGTAGTCTTATATTATATTTACCTAGACATAAAGATTATAAAATAATAGTAATTTTAAGTTAATAGTTTTATACTAGCTACTAGTATATTTTATAGCCTAGTTATTAAAGTATATCTTTATAAGGTTACTTACTTACTTTAGCGTTAGCCTTAATATTACTATTAATATTACTATAGTTAATAAAAGCTCTTATAGTAGTATAGTAGTTATTATATATAAGCTATTAATTTTAGCTATTATATAGGGTTTTAGTATTAATAAAGATAGTAGTAAGGTAAAGGTTAGGTTATTATAAAAGGTTTAATAAGTAATTACTAGTAATAAGTACACTTTAGTTAGTTTTTTACTATATAGAATTATATTATAACCTTAGATATTCTTAATAAAGTTAAGGTCTTTAAGGTATAGTTTAAAGTTATATAATAATCTTTTAATAATAGTAATAATCTTATTAGTCTAGTAGGTACCTTTCTCTTATTAAAGAGTATTAAATATATATTAGGTAATTAATAGGTATTTACTATAGTTAACCTATATACTATAATTAATAAAGAAGTTATATAGGCTTATTAAGACCTTCTAGTTAATTATCTTAAAGTTATTTATAGACTATTTACTAAAATCCTTATAAGTATAGTAAAGTAATTTACTACTAATATAGTTATAATACTTATAACTACTAATATAAAATATAATAATAGTGTTAAGTATAAAAGCTTTTTACTTACTTATAAGGTTAGTTAATAACTTCTTAATATAGTCTTTTCCTTATTACTATAAGAAAATATACTATATAAGGTTAATAAGTATAGTAAATATATTATTAATTACTACTACTTACTGCCTTATATTAAGTAGTATATTATACTTACTATAAACTTCTTCTTATTACTTTATAAGTAAAGGTATAGTAATCTATAAGCCTTACTTACTTATAAGCTTATTATATTTACTTATCTTAGCTTAGGTCTTCTACTTATAGGTATAGTGTTATTTACTATTACCCTTTATTAGCCTAATAACCTCTTAAATATAAGTGTTTCTTCTAATAGACTAGAAGGTATATATATTTATTAGAGGGATTACTACTAGTAGTATAAATAGTTAAAAAAAAAAACACTTTTATAAGTAAATAACTTAGAGAAAAATAATAGGCTATTATATTAGCTACTTATTAATACTATTAGTTAGTAAAAGAAGAAGAAATAATAGGCTATTATATTAGTAACTTATTAATACTATTAGTTAGTAAAAGAAGTATATATATAGAAAAAGAAGTTAGTAAGCTAAAGAGCTTATAATAAATAAGATATAGTAAATAATTACTAGTTAGCTATAGGTATATAAAGTAAAAGGTTTTTTATAGTTAAAAGTACTTCTCTAAAGGTAATAAAGCTTATATAATAGACATAAATTAATAAGGTTTTTACTAGTTAAAGGGACTAGTTATAGATCTATTAATTAACCTATTATAATAAGTAATTAGTATAAACTATTATAGTAAAGGTATTTATAAAGGTATTTTTTAGTACTTACTTACTTTAGGTATATAAATAATTAACTAGTAATAATTACTTTTTCTTATAGACCTTACTAATCTATAGTTTAGATAATAAAGTTAACCTATATAGTTAATAATAAAGTTAACTACTAATTAGTATTAGTAATACTAAAGAATAAGTTAATATAGTTAACTATATATATTAGTAGTAGTTAATAAATAATAGAGGTAACTATAGTTCTCTATTATATATAAAGAAAAAAAGGATAATTATTATAGGTTAGTTAGTTAAATAACTAACTTATTGCCTATAAATCCTTAGAGAATCTATAGCTAAATATCTAAGGATTTGCTGGTAATAAGTCATCAGGGTTAACCTAATAACTCCGATATTTATCCGCGATAGTCAACATTGCAACATATACGTTATATCAGAGACCCCTATAATCCTGAGGGCCCAGGTTCAAGCACTGTTTAGGGCAGTTAAAAACACCACCTATACTTTAGCAAGATGTACCCAATTAGAAGAAGGTATTAAGAAGAGTGTTCTATATTACCAGCCTTCTGACAGATATGTTGTAAACCTAGGAGGGTGTCGTGATATAAGCCGTAATTACGCAGTAGCAATTACAGATCCGCTTTTGTCATCACAATGTATTAATAAAAACAAATCACCCCAAATCTTTTATTAAGATATGGTTTTCTAGATACATTTGCAGATCCAAGATACCTTAAGTTTATTAGTAGGAGATGCGATATATATCATCTTGTAATTACTTACTACAACAGTATTTTAACAATGTGGGCCTATACATGACGGACCTGGTCCCATAGGTCTCGAGACAGGTTCGGGAAATGGAGGACTCTCCTATATGAGCACTGTTCATCACCATGTCTCTTTGAATAAAGTTTCCCTTGGAGTAGTCATTACCTCTTGGGCCGGCACGGCAAGAACGACGGCCACAAACATTGAAACTAGAACAGTTTGAAATCGCATTGTGATTTATGAAATATAAATAATCTTTTCGACTGTTTGTAGGAGTAATACTGTTGTTTTTGCTAGGAAAATGGTTAACGTGGGCAGCTTTGTCGTTTTATATAGACATCTCATCGCACTAAACGCGTTAGTAAATAATTAAAGCGAACTGTGTATTGAGGCCGCGAGTCAATCTATACAGTACACATCGCAGTGTAAATTGCGAGGAACTTGAGAGAACTACTCAAGGCATCATGTCGTCAATAGCAAAGCTTGAGCTTGCATGGTATGTGAAACGACCCACTCCTCTTGATAGTGTGGCTAAACGTACGCAAAGTTTTCATCGTGACAATATATTTTGTGTATGCTTTCAACTCTGACTTCTTAGGGGCCTATGTACGGTGTATTTCTTGAAAGTAACCGGGCGTTTCATTCGCTCAGAGTTTAAAGATAGTTTATGTTGTGCACTGTATACATAACCGCTGTCTGTTAAAACGCTAAATGAAGTGGAGCTATTAATGATTCATGCCGAAATACTGTATTTGTTTGCGGGCTCTGGGGATCCCTTGACATATTTCCCTGTATAACTATATACCGTGCCAGCGCCCCGCTTCTAATCACGATTCCCATGGCTCACTTTTTCTAACAGCCGAGTTTTTCTCTCTTCTGCCTGATGATGGAGCCTATGAAGCATGACAGCAACACAAGGCGGAGAAGCACGTTTATTCCTACAGTGCGGGTCAGTTGGGTGGCTACTAGCCTTATTGCCACCCTGGCTGCCGTACTCTGCCTCAGAATATCCCATCTCACGCCTTCCTCCCGACAGCCCGGGCTTCAACCTATAATAATCTCCTACGATCCATTGGTCATATATCTGGAGAACTTTCTCAGTCAAAGAGAGATCTATCACCTACGAAGGCTCGCGTAAGACTAACAAATCAAATCCCTGAGATGTGCTTTATATGGTTGCTTTAGCTGGCGCAACTCTGACATTTTGCCTTATAGGGAGGGAAGATATTACCCATCTACAGTTACAAGCTCTAATGGGCAGCTTGTGGATTTATCAACGCGGAGAAGCTTGACTGCGGTTTTGCCTCACAATGATTCCATAGTCGAGTCAGTCGTCTCGCGAGCAGCCAAATTCCAGGGATTTCTTCCCACATCCAATTTTGAGTCTATCCAGGCGACTAGCTATGTGGCCGGCGGGGAATTCCTTCCCCACTATGACATTGCGACACCAGAGCCTATCTATACCCACCCAAACGAAAGCCGCAGCTCGAACAGGACAGACAGAGCTACCACCATCTTCGCCATACTAGACGAGAGCTGCGGGAGCAAGTGCGGCACTATGTTTCCCAGGATCAAGATCAACTGGACGAACCAAGATGGTACATGGTGTGATTATGTGGATTGTGACTCAGAGACACTCACTATTAAGCCGAAGCCTGGTAACGCTATCTTCTGGAGAAACCGGAGAGACGACAACTCTATCCACCCTAACTCTCTTCACGCTGGGTTGCCCTTACATAAGGGAACAAAGTTAGGTATAAATATCTGGGCTAAAGATGCATAATCGGGCGATTTATAACAGAGAGTAATATTTTATAATATATAGAAAAAGAGTAGTATAAATTCACAGTATTTTAAAGCGTTATATATAATAAAATTGATGTAGACGTATAGTCAGTACGGGAAAGATGGCCGTAGGCCCGGGTTAGGGTGCCATTGCTGCTACTACGGCTGCCCCGGTCGACGGGAGCTGGAAAGCTATTAAAAGTCACAAAGCTTTTATAATAGTCGCGAGGCGGACCACAACAGCCAGCAACAGCATGCTAGAGATTAACATAACTGGTGGTAGTTTTATGCCAATCAAGGAGATTCCATTTCTCTAAGCAAGTCGCTTCAAAAATCTCAGCTACCTTACTAACCTGTTAGGTAATCCACTGACTTAAAAGAAAGATTGAGGACTTGGAGCCGGAGTAGCCTTTTACGCAGGGGTGATGAAGAGAAAGGAAGGTGGCGAAAGTCCTGGCAAATTGCCTGGAAGTAAAGCCCGCGCACCAGCAATCTCATCACGTGCCAGCCTGGACCTTCATCCGCCGCACTGCCCACCAGAGCATCTCGAAGCATATCTGGGTGATACCAAAGCTGCCTTTGAAACAGTTTTTAAGTCCCCTTCCTGGGTATCAAGCGCACGTTCAAAGGACCCTTTTTCCAAATGCCATACAGGTCCTGTTCCAACCAATTTCTACTGTCCTCTGCAATCTGTAGGTCGAAGTTCCAGATTACTCGGGCGAGGATGACTCTCATTTCAGCTATTGCCAGGCTATGTCACCACAGGTCAGTAAAGACCAAAGAGTTCAAAATTATGTTGCACTTACTTCCGACCAATGCAGTTGCGAGGCCCGTAGCCAAAGGGTTGAAGAGCACCTTTGTCTTCGTCTTTGAATTTCGGATCGTCAAGGAATCGCTCAGGTATAAAGTCGTCTGGCTGGACGAAGCGCTTCTTGTCGCGATACATAGGCCATTGAGAGATCATGACCCTGGTCTGCTTTCACCACAGTTAAGCGTCAGCTATTTCAAAAACATCATTACATTACACTTACACCTTCTGGCACAAATTTCTCACATATATAGTCTCCTCCAGGCTTAATAATTCGACTGATTCCTGTTGGTAAAACGGGATAAAGCCGCATAGTTTCATCCAAGGCTGCTAGCATGTACTGTAGCTTTTGCACACTAAGAATATCAATTTCTTGTTCTGCGCTAAAGGACGAGCGGACTTCCTTGGCAACTCTTGCCATAGCATCGGGATGGGTCATTAGGAAGAAAGTAGCACCTGAGAGCACAGTTCCTGTAGTCTCTGAGCCACCAATAATCAAGGTATCAGCTGTTGCTTCGATCTCCAGCTTTGACATAGCCTAAGAACATGGCAGATCAGTCAGTTCAAACACTTTATATTTCACATCTATCAGGGTTACCAGGACTTACTAGAGCACCCTCCCTCATCATCATAGACTGAATAAAATCCGGTCTTGATTCACTTGAAGCTATGCGTCTTTGTATCTTATCCTTACTAAGTTGTTGATGAAGGTTTTCCTTCTGCTTTAAATTTTCTGGAATTAGCCACTTTGTGAGCTGACTGGTAATCCAGAACTGCTTGAATGCATTTCTGTAAACCCTTGCATGGAGGCTGTCAAAGATGGATGAGACCCAAGGGTGATAGTCTGATCTTTCTAGGCAGCCAAACGGCTCACCAAAGGCCAGGTCTCCCATAATATCAAACGTTGCAAAGTTATACCAGGCAACCATGTTCAAAGCCCTCTTTCCATTCTCGCAGTTTTCATGAAGACGTTGGATCAATAGGTTAATCTGGTTCTGGATCAGGGGTTGCTGCTTAACCATGCTCTGGGCAGAGAAGCCATGCGCGAGAACCCGCCGGATACGAGCGTGGTCTTCTCGGTTGGCGTATATAATACCATACGGCTTACCACCAGCCTTGATAGGGTCCCTGTAGTTCTCCGTACTGCTTCCCCTACTGTGCCCCATTAAGTCCTTGAAAGCGCGTGGATCAGCCCAGTCTATAATGTTTGGGCCGATCCTGACAACAGGGCCATATTGCTTATGTAGCTCTTCGAGTTTCTTATGTGCCCTGCCGCTGAGGACCATTCTTGAGTGAGCAAGACCCGTAGCAGCGTAAAGCTTGGGACCAGGATAGTTACAAAGGGGGTGGAGGTATATGTTATAGATAATTCTGGAGAGTGGGATAATTCCCTATTGCTTCTGTTAGTTTCTTTCTTGGACTAGTTGGTTTTAATCCTGGAAGCTTACTAAACTAAGAAAAACAACAGTGAGCACTGCTGTTAATAATGTACTCTTGAAATTTGATATATCGTATGAGATAACCATAGTTGACCTGGTGGCGTGCCTTTGACAGCAGCTGCTTCTTTAACTGTAAATAATGTGTATACTGTTCTGCCTTAGTTATTATATCAAAAGGACTCAATGGTGATGAAATGAACTGAGATAGACAGCTTGCAAGAGAAGAATAGCTAATTATCCTGTTCTAGACACAAGATGTAAGGTTAGCTAGATATACTCCTCTACAAGCCTTTGCTCGTGCGTAATCTTGCTTTCGAAGCATAAAAGCTTCAAGGAAAGTCAAATATACTACTTAGCAATATTACCTCTACATTGGAAGCCTCTCCTGGTAATAAATAGTAGTCTATTTATGCAAGTGCACTTAGCTTTCCGGAAGCATAACTGCCGAAATCTAAGCTATAAACTTCCCACCTACTAAAGCAACATACATCAGGGATATATTCACTGTCATATTAGCTAGTAGTCAGTGTAGAAAGTTTAAATCAATTACGTCAAATATTAAGGTTACAAAGTAACTTTGTGATGTATTATTGGCGACTTGTTGTCTTCTAACAGCTAGGCTTTTGTTAGCCTTAATATAAACAATTAGCCCCGCAGAGCCCCGCAAGGTGGAACATAACTCTAACGTTAACAAATGCCTAATTTTGTTAAAGAGATAAGTTGTTCAAATAAACGTGTTGATGGATCCCGGGTACAGAAGTATATATCTATTAAAATAACTAATTTCATTAAGATAACTATATATATTATGCTTATTTTTTTATATACACCGTTAAATAATTATTCTTTTGGCTATTTGAGATATAGATGTATTATTAATACTGTCTTAAATCGTTTGTTGCAGCCTAACAAGTTATAGACAATGTCAGCCCCTCTAGGCTTAGAAGCGTAGACAGTACAACCTTTATATAGATAAGACAACTAGAGTTATTATAAAATAACAGTAGCGCTGTCTATATTATAACCTTGGTTATTCTATTTATGCAAAGGCTCTACTGCCTGCCCTTTTAGGGACTAGTAGGGCTAGTATTACCTATAACTAGTTAAGTTATAACATCTAGCCTATAGGTACTCTAGACATAAGAGTTTAAGTGTATAGTATAAGCTAGACTTATAACTGTTGTAGAGGTACTTGTTAGGTAGAAATTAGTATAGAACAATAGCTTAACTATCTACTTGTAGGATTATATAGTCTAAAATGGAGGAATACGTTTCTATGTATAGGACTAACTATGTAGGGCTAGGGGCAGATTGTCTAGTCCTAGTAAAATCCTATAACGCTCTATTATGCTAATAAGGGCATTGTGACGCTACTAGAACAAGAAAATACAGTATAGTACTAGTTTAGTAATTCTCTTACACTACCTCACACTGAAATATGACGACTTTTGAGCCCCAACTAAACTTCACCAGGAGCTATTTAATTAGGATACTAGGACAATCTTCAGGTAAAGCCAGCATAACAGAGTCACAAGGAAAAGAAATACAGCAATAAGATAATTATACTATTGAGCTTATGAACTGAATTGGGTCATCTAATAAATAATATTATGCTCTCAAAGATTCCTTTGACCGTTTCCTCCAGTCTGGGCCCTTTCTCATGATATACCACAACAAGGGCATAAATAAAGCATTCAATCCTCCAAAGACCGTCATGGCCCACCCAATGCCGACGCCGTTTATCAACGGCACAACGCCTGCCGTCGCGCCCGCCCCTAGGACGCACCTTAATAGGCTGTTGGACGCCACCACCGTCCCCGCCCGCCCCGGATTGATGTCCAGCATCAACGTTTGGATGCAACTCAGGGTTGCCCCCGCGCAGAATCCAAGGGCGAGGAGCATTATCAAGGGCCCGGACACATGGGCGCCCGCGTGCAGCATCCAGCCAAAGCTGACGGTGCAGGCCGTTCCAAGGCCGATTGTAGGGGCCGCGACTTCGATGCGAGCGCGCTCGATAGGGAAGTCTATAAGGTCCGTCTTGTTATTATCCACAGCAATTCCCAGCGCCGCCGCGTGCCGGCGGAAGTTGGCATCGATGAAGTAGCCCCGGCTCAGCGCGGCTAGAAGGGCCCCAATACCGTAGGGGAGGTAACAGAGCGAAACCTGCAGCTCATTAAACGAATAAACATGGCTGAACTGTGTGGGGATTAACGCGAGTGTGGCAAAGTACGAGCACGCGAGAATGGAGGAGTAGAGAAGAGGAAACCCGCATTCTGGTTTGAGGAGCAGAAGCACCGGCCTCAGGGGGTTCGGAAACTTCAACGGGGGTGGCTTGATCTCTAGCTCCGCGCGCTCCCTTCCCACGTCACCAGCTCCGCCCTTCTTGCGTCTTTGGAGCAAGACGTCTATCCCAGATTGATTCCACCACTGAGGTGGCACGCTTCCGTTCCCAACGATCTTCCTGCATGTCTCTGGGAAGAACAGGGCCATGGGAAGCAACGTCGCGGCGCCCAAGGCTGCGAGGAGCCAAAAGATGGAGTGCCAGCCGGCGTATCTGACCATCAAGCCTCCGATGACGGGCCCAACGGCCGCGGCAAGCATGGCCAGCCCCGCGGCGTAGCCTACGTACGCGCCGCGCTCGGCCGGCGCCGCGACATCAGCGACAATGGGGCTGACGAGGCTCTGCGCCCCGGAACTGCCCGCGGACTGAACCATGCGCAAAACAAGAAGAGCCGCGTAGCTGTTCTGGATGGCCAGACCGATGTTTGCACCGAGGAAGATGACCAGGCACATGATGAAGACCGGCCGACGGCCGCAGGTATCGGATATTTGGGCGCTGAAAGCCGGGGTCAGCCCCTCAAGGATCATATAGGTGCTGATGGAAAGGTTGACGAGACTGTCGCTGACATTGAGGTCACGGGCGATCAAGGTCAGGGCTGGGAAGTATATGTGGCCGGATAGTGAAGACAACAGCCCTGCGAAGGAGGAGGAGAAAACGAGTGCGCGTTTAGCCGCAGGTGAGTAGATGGAATAGTGGACGTTGTCAGACGGAAAGGGCAGTTCTGCTGCCATCGCTGGTTCGTTTCCCTCTTTCTTAGATGGCGAGTGTCTCTCGCTGGTGCTGGCCATGATGGTGCTCCCGTCAGCTGTCTCGTTTCGAAAGGTAATTGCGGGGTCGGCGCCGTCGTTTCTGCTTCCAAAAAAGTGTCTCCAATGTTGAAAGTCTGGAAATAATAAAAGAAAAGTCTTGAAGGTAATGCAAGTTGACTTATTTCGTCCAGGCCTATTGCCATAACACATTAGAGGCACTCAGTACGCAAAAGGCTGTAAGGTTACAAAAGCTGATTTTACTAGGCTTATTGAAGTTAAGCAAATGTTTCAGCGTACAGTATTTTCCCAGCAAAAAGTGTCACGGGAGAATACGCCGCCTATTTAACAGCTGAAATCTTCAAGGTTTCGGATCTTACGTGGCAGACGGAACAATTTCACAAACAGTAACTTTTCGGCCATGGCACTAAGCCACGACTTGAGTAGCCCTATGCCCCAGGTGCTGCGTTGTTAAACGCCTAATTTGGTAATAGCTTATAGATAACCTAATGTCTCGGCAATCGGACTTTACGGCCAGATCTCACACCATTGTTATCTGAGAGTGCAAGGAGAACCTAATCAAATCAAAGGTTGCAACAGACGTTAAACCAAAGACATGCTCATGAGTCATAATACCCGGGGGTGTCAGTTAGCCTTTGGCAGAGCTGATTACCCCCTCCTCACGGAGGGGCCAAGAAAAGAGGGGCCAAGAAAAGAGGGGTTGCAGTTGGAAAAGGGGGGTTACACCCTATGATTTTAATTAGTATTTAAGATCTTAAATGGAACTATAAAGCTCTACTTAGTAGTGAAGTATAAGGCTCTCCTTAGTAAAGAACTATATGTTAGAAATTACCTAAGTCATATGTTACAAGCAAGTCAGGGCAACTGACTCTAGCATAAAGCAAAAGCTTTAGTAGTAATACACCTGCATTATTATCTCCTGTTCTACACTATATAAGTACGCTAGCCAGCACTCCAACTGGTTAGGATGTAACACTTATATAGTCTTGATTCTAGAGGAGGGGGATTCAGTAGTTGTTACAGCTAGTAACTTAGGGTTATATAAAGAGTTAATTTTAGAGGGGCGCGCTTAGACCAAGACTATGATTTATAATACTATTTGTCTTACTTAACCTACCCTAGTTACCCTACTTCCTGGCTTTAAACCCTGACACCTGAAATAATAGCTTAAGATCTAAAATCTAGTACACTAGGTAGTAAAGCTAACAATGCTACTTTTAAAATTCATACCTATATCTGAAACTTTTGTCCTCTATTTAAGAGACAAGCTTTACAGCATACTGATTGTTTAAAATTAGATGCTGTAAATTGGCGTTGTAGGCGCAGGCTAAAAGTGTAAGGAGGAGTGTCTCCTTAGCACCAGTCAGTGTGAGCTTTCCCTTGCTAGGGGCAGTAGATGATGTTGGCCAAGACATTACAGTATTACTACTTTGGTAAAGGCAGTTACAGTTAAAGGTGAGAAAAGAGACAGCATGTACACGTCCTTCACGAAGAGACTTCTCTTACTTTGTACTTTAAAGAGTGCTATGGTCGTAGAGCCTAAGTGGGTAAAAGGTTTGGGGAGACACTCTTTTTAACTTATTGGCTTGTCTGAACAGCCATGAAACATGATTTTGAATAACTTAGGATGCGATTGTAAATCGATGTTAATCTGAGACATATAAGAAACCTTACGTGGCATGTACTTGAAAACTCAAACCATGTTGCTCTGGGTTAAGAGCACAAGAATAGATATAGTTCTAATTTACTTTCACAACTTCATCTCAGGGCCAGACCTTCATACGCCGTATTGCTCATAGTTTATGCGAGATTGCCTGTTGACGATTTCAATTTATGACCCTTACAGACGCCTTTTTAAGGCACTGTTGGGTGGGTGTTCTTCATACGGATGATACAGAGTCACATGTCCTTGAAAACAATTAACATCTTCAGCCTTCCCTTTCTTCCCACTGAGCCCAAGCTCTATGCCTCCCGTGCAGCACAGCTCAATCTAACACCGCCGGAGCAGCTAGGGCGACCCTTGTAATAATCAGACAGGGAAATCGAATTGTCTTGGAGTTGCCTTGATAAATAGCGGTCTCTTTTGCCGAATAATCCGGATAAACTCGGCTCTATGCCCCTTGTCCCATTGAACTGATCTTGGCGCGATTTCAAAGTCAAAGTGCCAGATCAGGGCAACGAAGGCCATGCGAACTTCATGGTAGACAAAGCTTTAAAGAGTTGCGCAAGTTAGAAACCAAGTACTTTGCACCATAGTTTTGGAATTGTACGGAAGGCAGCGTAGCTCCTCAAACGATCATGACGGCTTACCGTTTTCCAATGCAGTCTAAACTGCCTTTGGCAAAAGGTCGAAAAGCAGCCCTCTTGTCATCGGCGTACTTAGCGTCACGCTCCTCTGGCAGCCAGCGTTCCGGCACAAAGTCGTTTGGGTCCTTGAAATTGAACTCCCAGTGTCCTGCGCAGTAGTGCGGAACACCGCACGTTGTCTGGAAGCCGCAGCACGTCAGTAAACAGGCAGTGAAATGTTAAGAGTCAGAGATCCATCGAAATCAGTTGGATACGACTTACACCTCCTGGAAGCCAATACCCATCCATCCAGGAACCCTCCGGCGGTACTATCCGAGGGATTGTTGTCGCAAACGGCGTGTCTGTCCGGAGACTCTCCTGGATAACGGCGTCTAGATACAGTATCTTGTCTGTGTTCGCGGCTGTGATATCCGCCGCCGTTCGAATCAGCCCCGAATCTCTGATCTCAAAGCAAAGCCTTCTCAAAACCCTCGGTGTCCTTAAGATATTCCACATCATGGCGGTCATCAAGATCGGGGTTGCCTCCCCGCCCGATAACGTCAGTATGGATGCCACATCAAGTGCCTGCACGGGCGTGATAGGGTCCTTGGCGTCTTGCATTCCTCTGTAAACCGTCGCCATAATATCCTCGCGATCTACGTCCGCAATCTCCTCGATCCACTTTCTCGCCGCAGCGTCTGACATAGTCCGCAAGCTATTCCACAGTACCATCCAGGGAAGCTTCTGCGCCCAACCGTAGACCCATCTGGTCGCGGGGAAGCGTAGGATGATCTGCATGATGGATAGAGCCGGCGCGCCGAGCTCGGCCGCTCGGAGATACGCATGGTCCCGTTCGAGAGCCAGGCAGCCAAAGTCGGTGCCGAAAGACAGCGCCCCCATTACATCAAATGTGAACCATGTGAAGAAGCGGTCAATATTGATCTCCTTGGGTGACTCGTGCTCCCGGATCTTGGACACGAGCCTGTTGATCCATTCTCTGACAAGCTCTTCGTGCTGCTTGAACGTCTTGCTGGTGAAGGCGGGGAGCAGCAGGCGGCGGATGGCATGATGCTCCGCTTTGTCAAGAGAGATGAAAGACTTGCCCTTTGTTTGGAGCTGCGAGACACTGAAAAAGTTAGGGTCGCGCATAAACTGGCGGGATGTCCCACCGATAACCTCCCAGGCGACGCCCGAGGGTGCAGAGACCTCATCAGGCCCGACACGCACAATGGGGCCGTAAGTCTCATGGAGCCTGATAAGGTCACGATGATGACAGCCGCTGATATGCTGCCGCCAGAGACGGGGGAACCAGGAGATAGCGTAAAGCTTGGGGCCCGGGACTTTGGACAGAGGATGAAGATACAGGTTGTGACAGATGCGATAGACGCGGTAAACGCAGAACTGGTGAGACGTCAGAGTAGGAGGGACATGGATATTTGGAAGTAGGGAAACAATACTCACGAGACTGGCAACCGCTAACCACATTGAAGTCCTTAACTCCATCTGAAATGTGGTAAGATATTAGTGAAGTGATAGTCACCACTTACTAACTGATAGCTAGACTTATTTGTAAAAAGTGAACTCAGAAGACATAGAGAATGGTCACCTAGTTTGAGTGAGAACATAAGATAATGAAAGCTTTTGGTGTGACATGGTAGAATATTTGTTATTTTAATTGCGACGTTATGAATGAGTATCGACTGGGCGATCGGAGTGGTCTAAGCTATACGTTGACATAGTTTACCGAGTCTTCAAATGAAACTACTGTAAAGCGGAGACTGTACGATGTAGACTTCAAGATCTCTTCGAGCTAGATAAATCAAAGTTAAGATTCGCGGCCTTTCTAAAGTCAGTTTATAGGCTTTTTTGATTAAGCGGCACTCCTCAGTTAATATACATATACAATAATTAACTTATTTGACCCTGCTAATCTTTGGTCCCTCTGCAGCTCATGAATCAGGTTTACACAGCTCCTAGGTTGAGCTATAAACTAGCTTTGTTACCTTTAAGAAGCGATACTTTCTAAGTAGGTTATTGGTCTGCGTCATGATCTGTTTCTCATGATCTGTTTCTCACGATGGTTTTCCCTCGCATTCGCATTGTGAAATAATTTTTGTCGACCGCATTGTAGTCAGTTCATTGGGGCCCGTGCTTTTTGTTCTTCTCTTGATACCTAACACGGGCATCTCCTCTTTTCCTGGCTTGATATTCAGCCTCTTCCGGCTATCAACCGGATATCAGGGCCTCTTTGCTCCTTATGCAGCAGTGTACTGTTTGCCCTTTCACACACACCCTCTGTATTTGTCATGCATCTCTTGCTCCTTCTCCGTTCGCAACCAGCAACATAGAAGACCAGCGAGACGGTGAGCAATTGACTCCTGTTGACCCAGCAGGAATTTTTATCATACTACAGGCGATCCCAGCATTCAAACAATTATCTTGTGCTATGGATGCGTTATCCAAACTAAGCGAGGCCGACCTCTACCCCTATTCTTTACCAGTCGACCGCACTGAGGTTGTACAATCCGGTGCACTCACTTCTCTTCCAGTACGGATCCATCGATACAATCACCTTGCTGACAGCGGTGCGCTGTGCTTGGCAGATGACTGGCGCCGGGCCATGCAAGATGGACAGCATAAGAAATCCAATGCTTCGTCATCCATCGTGGGGAACTGGGCAAGCTTCATCTGGCCTGAATGGTAAGCATACTTCTTTCTTATCTCCATCTAGCCACGGTCTAGCTTTGTCACCAGCCACAACGGCTAATATTGGATCATGAGCAGCCGACCAGAACGGCTTGGGCTTCTATGCTATCTACTCGACGCAGGTTGTCTTCATGATGGTAAGCTCCGCCCTAGCTACCCAAAACTCTGAGAGCAACCGCTAAATATAGTCGGCAAGTTCAGATGCCTGCGAAGAGATATCCATCTCTGCCGCTCAGCAGGAGCACCTCGACTTTGCCGATGCGATGGAGATCCGAAGCGGAGAAACAGAGAGCCGTCCTAATAGCCACCCGCGCTCGGTTCGGATCAAGAACCTGATTTCCAATGCCGTCCTAGAGTGCATAAACGTTGACCGAGCCGGGGCGATGCGCATGCTAGAGGCGTACAGCAGAAAATGGTTGCGCGTCATGGAAACGTACAAGACGGACAAAATTGACGACATCGACATGTATTTTGAGGCCAGAGCCAACAACGGGGGCATGGGCGCGTACTATGCCATGCTCGAGTTCTCGCTCGGAATCACAATAACCGACGGCGAGTATGATATCTTGAGTGAGGCCATACGGCACGTCGAGCGCTGCATGCTCCTGACCAACGATTACTGGAGTTGGGCAAGGGAGCGAGAGCAAGCTAAGCGTCAAGAAGTGGGAAAAGTCTTCAACATTGTATATTTTCTCATGCAAAACAACAAGTCCCGGTCGGAGGTCGATGCTGTCGCCGAGGTCCGCAAGATGGTCCTCGAAGAGGAACAGAAATGGGTGAACACCAAGACAAAGCTGTACCAACGGATTCCCAACCTCGGCCGGCATCTTATCAAGTTTCTCGAGAGTCTGAATACAGCATTGGCCGGCAACGACTATTGGAGCTCCCAGTGTTACCGACACAATGACTGGGAGCACGTCCCGGAACTCCCGGGAGAGGGTGCACCGACCGTGGGAGAGCTTGTTGACATGGGGAGAATATTGCTGCAGGATAGCGACCCGGATAGTGACGACTTTGGTAATTCTGGTAGTGCCGTTGCAGCTGCAGACCCGTGTAAACCCTTGTCACTTCTGACTCCCCCATCGTCGTCATCGAGTCCAGTCACCGACCCACATCCATCACTTCCGCGCACGAGTCGTTTTACTGAATCCCCCGTCACCGAGCCAATCGACTACATCAGGTCCCTGCCCAGCAAGAAAGTCCGTGCGCACCTCATCGACAGCTTGAACCTCTGGCTTTCGGTGCCTCCTTTCGCCCTGTCGCTCATCAAGAAGGTCATAGACTGCCTGCACGACTCCTCCCTCATTCTGGACGACATTGAGGATGGATCTGACCTGCGCCGTGGGTTCCCTGCTAGCCATGTTGTCTTTGGAACAGGACAGGCCGTCAACTCCGCTACTTTTCTCTACCTCGAGGCTGTCCAGGCCGTCCACGACTTTGTCAAGGAGGGCGGTGGTGGGCTGGAGTTGATGGATGTTTTGCTGGCGTCCTTGAAGCAGCTGTTTCACGGCCAAAGCTGGGACTTGTACTGGACGCACCATCGAATTTGCCCAACAGAAGAGCAGTACCTCTGCATGGTTGACCAGAAGACTGGCGCCATGATGCGACTCTTGACCGCTTTGATGCAAACTACAGCAACATCATCGAATCCGCGGTATGATGCGTTGGAGCCCATTAGCTTTGAGGGAAACCATAGACCAGGGACGACACTGAGCAAGTTCATACAGCTCTTCGGCCGCTTCTTCCAAGTGCGCGACGACTATCTCAATATATCTTCTTGCGAGTCTTCGTACGCAGAGAAAAAGGGGTTCGCCGAGGACTTGGATGAGCAAAAGTTTAGCTACATCCTAATCCACATGTACACGCTTCATCCCCAGGCGAGAGATAAGGTCGAGGGAGTGTTCAGGGCGACGCGCCAAGGGGGCAAAGAGAGGTATGATGGGATACAATGGAAAAGATACATCCTAGGACTGCTGCAAGAGACTGGCGCTATGGAGGCGACGAGGCGGGTACTGAGAGAGTGGCACGAAGAGATGATAGCTCAGATCGGGAGACTGGAGAGGGAATTTAGAGCCAGAAATGACATTCTGAGGCTCTTGCTTGAAAGTCTGAGGATCTAAAGTCCCCCGACCTGACCTCTGGCTAGATGGGTGCTGCGCTTTATATTTACTCTGCTATATTTATAAGCTACTCTCTTGTTGTCTTGCCTTATAACTACCTCCTCTTTCTCTGCTACCTCATTAACAAGTGCACCTAGCTTACTTAAGGTTACTAATACATTTTACGTTCTCTAGGCAGCTCACTTAAGGCTATTACTGCCCTTATTTGTCCTGTCATCTATTGCCGACTGCACATACTTCTCAAGACTGTTAAAGCAGCTCTGTTCTTCTGTACTTCTGGGTATTTGGAAGCTCTTTTGCTAGATATAGATTCTGCTGTGAAACTTATAGAGATAGGTGCCGCTCTACTGACTGTATACCTAGTCTCTAATAGTACTGAGCCTCTATTAAATGCACTATTAGAAGGAGCTGTTACTAGAATAAAGAAGAGGACTATATAAGCCTTCTTAAAGAAGTATAAGTTAAAGTATAAAGACCTTTAACAGGCATAAGGGCAAGATTTAGAGAGGAACATTAATTCTCTCAACAGCTATTGCTCCTTTACACCTAAACGTTATGCCATACTATCCTCCTACTCTATGTAGATCTAGAAACACCTAGGCTAGTGGTATATTCATGTTGACGAGTAGTTCCTACGTCTCTATAATCTCAATATCTTCTGGATTAGGGAGCTTGGACAAGCTTGTGGTCTTGAGGTTCGCAGATAGTCCCGATTGATGTGTGAGTAACATAGTCCGTGCCAAAAAGTGCCGAAGATGAATCGTCCAGGGCCTCCCACAAGACCTTTATCCAACACTGCTGCCACCTCGTTAATGTCGTCAAGCTCCATTTACTGGGCATATTTGCTGCTGGATAAGTATAGAAGCCTTCCAGAAGCACTACAGTTATTCCTAATGCTTAGTAGTATATCATAGCTTGCTATACCTCAGTAAATGCTGATATCCTCCATTGCGCCGTGCCGTGAGCACAGGACCTCTGTCATTTGTGAGAGTCTGGAGACTTTTGATGACTATTTCGGTTGGTTTTGTAGACACTCTTTAGCGTGACTCTATTTAAATTACTCCCCGCCGCGGCGAAAGAGGGCCTCGATGGCGAGAAGCTGTCGGGACGTGGCAAACTAACAGGCTCGGCAGCCGCTATGTAAACAGATAGTTCTCCAGTCAGCCTAGCAATGCCTAAGACAGCAACGGTCTCAATGCCGAAGAAGCCGTGCGGCGTCCGAGGTTTGGATGACCAAGGTGACCCCTACATGTACAGATATTATGTGAAGTTGAAGTCTCGCTCGGTTTTCGTTCTTGTCTTATATATTAGTTTGTTTAGATCAAGTGTATATTGATTTACTCTGAGGGTGAATAATATCTTAAACTTCTGGTCTATAAACTTGTTTCTCTCGACTCTAATCAGATTTAGGATATCATATTGTCAATATAACATTGCCGTACTAACAAGTGAACAAATAAAGGCTGGGGTTACAAACCTCATGTCAACGAATATTGGTAACATAAACCACCTCCTTGAGTACCCATCACCTGAGACACACGGACATTCTCTTCCTCTAAACCCTCCATGTTGAGGATGTCATTAAGGCTTGCGTTCTCGTCTGAGCTGCCTGAGTAGTTGGTGAGTCTAGTCTTTTCATCTCTTTTCTGCCAAATGAACCAAAGACGGTCCAATTGTGCATGGTGGAGGTAGAAGATTGGATCTTAAGCCTGAATCAGACAAAGAAGTTCAAGTCGAATTGTGAGTCTATGTGAACGCTTACCATTAGGAGCCGTAAAATTGAAGAATTCACCTCTGATACCATTGGGGGCCATGTCATGAGGACCTCTCTCCAAAGCCAAGAAGAATGTCTCATAGTCCCTTTCTCTTAGAATATCTTGCACCACTTTCAGACTTACACTCGTGCCAGCGAAATCAGTGATGCCACGAGATAAACAATGGGGTTGTGAGTTTGATCCGTAATAGAGAGGACGCCAGTCTGCGAATGGGCCATCGGTCACACAGTGTCCTTCACCCACACTATGAGGCGCACTTTGATTCCCATTGCCGCCAAAACCAGTGACGCTCGAAAATATCGGAGACTCTGGGAAATTCTCCCAATCAAGTGTCCAATCCCAGTATCTATCGACGAACAAGTCAGCGTGTTTTTGAGGACAGTGTCCACATATTAACTCACGGCAATGCTCCTTTGTACGAGCACTTGTCCTGTAGATATTTTTCATATATGAAGATGAATCTTCTGTGCCATGGGAGAAAGGGTGCTTTCCCATGCGCTACCACTTTGGTCAATACGGAACTCTCTTGATAATGATCAATACGGCTTACCGCTGTGACCATGCTTGTTGTGCACAAAGGCAAAGTCGTCGTGAATGGTACCATTACCTGTGAGTACGGAAGTCATGCGGGTGAGACATTTAACCGCTTCTATGTAATCCAGCTTTTCTTGTCTTGAGAGCGTTCTCCATTCGCTTCTGAATGAGGGATCTATACAGCGATTGGGTTTTGAGGTTGCATCTTCATAGCCTAAATGTCGACCAAGCGCAAATATTGCTATGAGAGAAATAAAGATAACAAAAGATGTGCCAAATAGGCAACTAAATTGTCTCCAGCGTCGTTCAGTAGAAGATATTATATCAAGGTTGTCGTCAGATGACGTGTCCAAGTTAGACAACTCTAGATCAGACGATAATAAGTATCGGTATTTGGTATTCATGATTAAAGAAAACACAGCTAGCGTGATTGCAACATGAGTGAGAAGAATGATCGCCGGTTACAATATGATAAAGTAAAAGGAGGAACGGTTACTGATCTTACATGGGGGGATGGCCAGTAAAGATGTTTTTGTGACTGTATAAGGTTTGACTGGGGCTCTCTGTAACAATTATAAGCATCAAACCTATAGTGTTTTAGACATCCTTCAGTTTAATTGCTAGGTATATAAATCATACTATTATAGTCAGACAGCATTAGAACTAGACTTATAGCTATAACGTACATAATAAGCGAGCCAATCAGACAAGCAAACCAGTGACCTAACCGCAACTATAGTATTTTCTTCCTTTTAACACACGTCTAACCGCTAAAAACAATGCTATTATTAGATAACAAAGCCTAATTAGTCCCAGTAATCCAAGCTATCAAAGGAGGGCATCAGCATCACGTCCTCGCAGTCTGCCTCGACAAGAACGACAGCCAAACCCACGCCCCCGGCTCCCACGCACAACGGCCAACCTGTCGACTGTAACAAGTGGGACGTTGTGGCAGAAGGTAACAGCTGCGGTTCTCTGGCCGCAGACAACGGCATATCGGTCGACCAGTTCTATGCCTGCAACCCTGCTGTTTCCAAGGACTGTACCGCTAACTTCTGAATTAGGCAGGCATACTGTGTTGGCGTATCCGAGGCTGGACCTGGCGTCACGACAACGTCACCGTCAACGAGACCCTCCTCCACGACGGCAGCCCCGACCCCTCCCGGGCCGACACATACGAGCCAGCCGTCAGACTGCAGCAAGTGAGACGTCGTGGTAAGCGATGACAGCTACGGGCCCATGGCCGCGGATAACGGTATCACTGTGAACCAGTCTTACACTTGAAACCCTGCCATGCCGATGGATTATGTGACAAACTTCTGGGCTGGCCAGGTGTACTGTGTCGGCGTCTTCAGCTAGAAACAGGCATCAGAATCTGTCATATAATTGGATTGCTACGGGGTGGGGGTAGGATACCTGACTACATGTGAGGATATTATCATCACGAACGTATTCTCTAGAACATATATTCTTCATGCCCAGAGGGGCTTATTTAAAGTTACTGATTCTGTTTTACAACTGAAACTGTAATTTTCTCGTCAATCTTGAAGGGCGCGTAGAAAGATTGTCTTAAACATTTACTCGAGAGAGTTTTATTTAATAACTTCTCCGCAACCGCCTAAGATACCAGTAGGTTATAGAACCTTATATTTAGGAGTATATATATTGGAATAGGTCAGGGCGATCAGGAGATTGATTCTGGGCAGATCTAAGGTATAGAGGTGTACAGGGAGAGGCTTTTGTCTTAATTAAGGGAAAACCTATATAAGGGAGCCAGATCACATAGATAGGAGACTAACAAACTTTTTCCTTTCTTTTCTAGACCTACTCTTTTAGCTAGATCAGACTATAAACATTTCTTCTGTGAGCTAATTAGATATAATAACATAAGATAATTAGGAGCTTTACTCCTCTAATTATGTTAAGACTTGTTCTAATTAGACACTTAACTCTCACGATCAGAAGTCTCTGTTACCCTTGATCAGTAGACTTGATGCTCTGATTGAGGTAGGCTCTTGACTGATCGAGGAAGCATCTTGTGTTGCCTTGTGGGTTGTTGGTGTTTTTCCTTGGATCACTGCACTGCAGAGGTCCCTCCTACTCTACATGTTTCCAATATGAAAGTCTGTAAAAGGCCTGCTGGAATATTAGCTGAAGAGAAAATAAGCTTAAGCTCTGCTAATATAGTAGGAAGCTGTTAAGGGCTACTTTATTAAATGCGTCTGAGTATAAACTTATGGCGCAAAACTAGACTTGTATTCTTTTTGCTGCTATCTCCTAACTAACACTGTTTATCTTAAGCATCTACTGACAATGCTTTCTTGATGATAATGAGCATATGCTTTTACTCTCCTTGCTGTTACAATATCATATTCAACTCGCTATTTCTAAAAGAATTGGTATTAGGCCACTTATTCTTAAGTCAGCAACAAAAGATCTCAGTTGCCCGCCTAACTATATGGCTCATGACTGGCTATTTCCCAGCAAGTTGTGCACTGCTGTAGATCTGTACCTGTTCCACTTAAGAATGAGCCACTCCTGCCCCCCTAGGTTTTCAAACAGACTCATGACCTCCTCGCTGGGTCTCCAGTCTTTAACCTGCTACTGCACCACAGGTGTTGTTGGTGCCGCAGCAGCAGCAGCATTGTCGTCCTTCTCCTCCTCACCACCGCGCCCAGCTATGAACTTGACACTCCATCTTTGGCCCAGTCTCATCGGTAGATCATATCCCTCGGATTCTCTATTTTTTGAAGAGACCCACCACAGGTGCGCGAAAATCTCGTCGTCCTCGAGGCTCAGCATATTGTCGTAAGTCAAAGACTTCGCAAAAGCCGCAAGCAGGGACTCAATACAGTCCCTGCATGGCCCGGTGCTGAACATGTTTAGATAGTGATCATACTTATTATCCAGGTTGTCGCTGTACTTGGCGTCGAGGTCCATGTCCTTGTCCGTGCTGGTTTTGCGGGGTTAGTGTTCTGTACCCAAGATCTTGTACCCTCCTTGCTCAGAGTCGTGCGGATCCTCGCCACCGGGGCCAACAAAGTACCACCGCCCGTCTGGACGGAGTGGGTGAAAATCGACCTGGAATCGCCGCATGTGCGATCACTGCTGGTTGGTTGGCGCCTTGGGACTAAGAAACAGGTCTGAAGTGACGAAGGCACGCACGTCAAAGAGCCTTAGTTGCGCACCAAGCTTGAACAGGCCGACAGACACAGGATCTTTGTCTGCGGGATGGACCAGGTTTTGACGGGCTACAGACTGTTTATGTTTGGGGAGAGAGAAGAATGGCTAGAAGTGTAGTGCGGCCCTGGCCAGACTGGAGGGGATCCTTTTCCTTCAGAGGAGCTTCTCCTGGTCTATGATGGCGGCGCTGAACTCATGGCGGGCGTCTTGCAGGGGGTCGTCCTACAGCTAGGTGTAGTGCTTGCGTATTACTTTACTTGGCATGAAGGATGGCATGTGGCGCTCCCACAACCAGGGTGTATTGCATTATTGGACAGCCGGCAGGTGGACGAAACACTGCAGTGGTAAGAGGGAGACAGAGGGCGTGTGTCTGTTGCGTTTTCGGCGCTGGAGCTGTACGCCCTCGACCTGATGACCAGGGTGCTTACAAAGGGAAGATCTGGCAGTGCCTCGGGGTCGTGCAGGTGCAAGTGGCGTAAGTGATACCTGCGATAGTGGCATTCTGGCGCCCCTGGCTCAAAGTTCTGCGGCTGGATTTCTAGCTTGATGCTCATGCTGGCTGGCGGATCCTCCATCACGTTATAGACAGCAGCAATCTGCTTGTAGACAGCGCTTCACTCAAAGCAACCCCATCAACCAACTTCATCAACCAACCAGTCAACTTTGCGAATAGCTTCACATCAACCAACCAACTTCAAGGCCAAAGTTGAGTTGGTTAATTAATTTATGTGGAGTCAGATTATCTATATATTCCTCTGCTGTATATTCTTCTGAAGCTGAATATCTACACTATATTTCTACCTGTTATACTATTCTTGGTGTTTATATAGATATATAGTAGATACCCTGCCTTAAGTTAGAACCTATTATACTTGCTCCCCCCTGTCTATCTCTTATTTTTTCCTTTTCTCTATCCCTCTTTATTTCCCTTCCTAAAGCTATTTATTATAACTACTCTATTAACAACTAATGCCCTTGCCCTCCTATAATCCCAAGATACGATATATACCTAAGTAAGGAATGTATCCTTAGTTACCGTGCTATCTTTATAGAGTACTCTGTATAATTATAACTATTATTGTTTTGCCTTATGCTGGGGAAGAAAAGAAACCCACTATGGGGGGGGGGGGGGGGGGGTGGGGGGGGATGCCCTTCTATACTATAGGAATAGCATTATATAGATAATGGGTATTCAACTGAAACAACTAATTCAACCAACTATCAAAGAAAAATAGCATTCAACCAACCAACCAACTATGGGAATAGCTTCAAGTCAACTAACCAACTTCAAGGCCAAAGTCGGGTTGGTTGCTCTGAATGAAGCGCTGCTTGTAGAAGGCGGGGATGCGCAGAGAAATGTGGGCGCTGATGGCGATGGTCTCCTCGACAGGTTCATTACACAGCAATGGCTTCTCTGTAGAGTCGTCGAGGAGGAGGAGCGGCAGCGGGGTATCATAATCGAAAACCCCGAACCCTAAGTTGCGGACGGCCTCAACATCTGCCTTGACTTTTTCCAAGAGCTTAGTGTCGAAATCTGGGTCGGTTTCGCAAAGCGGCTTATTAATGGATAGAAATGTGATAGATTAGTGTTGGAGTTAGTTCCTTGATTGGTTTTAGTGAGGTGGGGGTTGAATGAAGCAGACCTGCTAGGGGCAGAAAGAAACAGTCATCATTATATACAATCCACCGACGTGGAGCTTGGCATCGTGCAGGGAAGGGAAGACTTAAGACATAACCACCCCACGCTAGATACTGCACAGCCCTACCCTTGGCCCAGCCAATCGGCCAGCTTCTTCTCACTTTATCACCTCCCTCATCACATTGCGCAATACAACAATATTGCCCTCAGCAGGGATAGAGGTAAAGAATTAGACCTCCAATGATCGTACCACAAGTATAGCAGGTGCTACTTCATAATAAAACTATGGCTGGTGTCTATAACAATACTAGAGTTGATACGGACCAAAGTCCTTATATCCGGTGCCCTTAACGAATGTCTGCAACCACGGCCCCTGTGTCTTCCCCTCTGCAAGCTCTAAAAAGAGCTTCGAATGTGCCTCCCCGTCAATTCTAAAGGCGGCCGAGCCGTCCGCCTTCCGTTCATCAACGTAGTAAAATCTACAGAGTATCAGTTGCATTCAACTAGTTATTCATGAACGGTATAGTTGGCACACCTGAACCCTTTCTCCTTGTATTCAGAGGCAGCAGCCATCATCATGTGTGCCGAGGCTGACTTTCCAGCACCTGATTCTAGAAACTGCGGCAGAGGTACAACGTTCAGGATGTTCCCTGTAAAGAAAAATGTCTTCTGGGTGTCGGCAGGGAGCTCCGCAAAGCAGAGAACAGCTTGCTGCGCAGCCACAAAGACACTGGTATTGTTGATGGTCATGTCTCGCTTGAAAGCCTCCAGTGGGATGGAAAACGGGTCGCCAGCAGGGGAGAATGTTGCGGCACCAGCTGGGAATCGTTGGTCAGCAGGAAAAATAAGCTACTTTCCCTCTATCTTCAAGGCTTACCGTTATAAACGACCACGCTTGGGATTCCCAGCTCCCCCTTAACCTTAGTGAAGGTATTGATAACGTCATCGGGATTGGAGAAGTCGCTTCTTATGTTGAGCTGCTCGTTTGTGCTATCCGCCTCCTCCAGGGACCGGGCTGCAATTGCGACTTTGTAGCCTTTGCTTCGAAAGGCGCTTGCGGCTGGCAAGCCGACTTTTGGCCCTGCACCGAGAATGAGAGCGACGGGAGGTGATCCAAGCATTTTGAGAGGTAAGAAGGTAAGATAGGCTGTATGTAGTCGAGCATGAAAGCCGGCAGAAATGTAGGAAGCCTTTACCTGCCATATTTATGCGTATCTTCTCGGTGAGAGAAAGGAGGTGCAAGGTAATGTGAAAACCAAATTAGTCACACCAGCCGCGCTGGCGACATTTTCCCCCAGTTGCGGTTTGTAAGCTAATTGATCAAGTATATGTAAATTCAACTGCGCATCTACTAGGCCTATTAGAGACATCAAGTCAGCACGGCAATGGACCCTTCGGAAGGTCCGTACTTGAGCAGAGCATGACCAATAGAATGTGTCAGCCTACATATGTCAGCTCAAGAATTAGTCACCTTTGAAGCCCTCCCTTATCAGTATTAGAGTAATCTAACTATCAAAAAGAGCAGGACTTAGATCCAGCCTGCTTTTGAATATTAAAAAGTCGTTGGCGACGCCGCCGAAGACAAGATCAACTTCCGTGAATCAAAGTACATTCCGCGTTTTTGCGCACCTAATTGACTTTCGTCGTCGACCACTTTCGAACTCATCAAACCTTCTATGGGCAATCATTATTGAACAATCCGATTTACCTCTATCCAAATGACAACGATGAAGCCAATCAAAGTCCTGGGAATCCACGGGCCCAATGCTGGCAAGGTTATCCTTCTGTGCGAGGAGTTAGGAGTTCCATACGAGACAGAACCCATCCCACTCTCCGACGTGAAAAATCCCAAGTACGTCGCCATCAACCCGAACGGAAGATTGCCGTCTATCCAGGACCCAAACACGGACCTCACGCTCTGGGAATCTGGGGCTATCATCGAGTACTTGACTGAGAAATACGACAAGGACCACAAGATGAGCTTCATTGCGGGTACGGCCGAAGCCTATCACGCTCGGCAGTGGCTCTTTTACCAGACCACCGGGCAGGGACCGTACTATGGACAAGCCATGTGGTTCATTATATATCAGCCAATCCCCGAGGCGCGCGATCGGTACGTCAAGGAGGTCAATCGTATAACTAGTGTCCTCGAGGGACATTTGGCGAACCAGAAGCCTGACGCAGATGGCAACTTCTGGTTCTTGGGTGGCCGGTTCTCGTACGTGGACATTGCCTTTTTCACTTGGCAGAACACTGCTGCACCGCGAATTCCGGATGATGAGTTCAATCAGAACGACTACCCGTATGTCCGGATGTGGTCTGAGAACATGCTAGCGCGCCCGAGTGTAAAGAAGGTCCTGAACCTCCAAGAGGCCAAATAGGATGTAAAATGGGGTTTTCTGTCTATTGCAAGCAAGTTACTAGGTGTGAACGAGGCAAGAGTGAAGGGAAATAATAGGTATCGGTGGAAATAAATTTGAATTCCACGAATTTCTCGTCCATTGCATTTGCATATGCATATATATACTGGTGATAAGGCGCAGCTTGTGCTTGCAGTGGGGAAATTGATGGTTATTTACCAGATTACAGAACAGAACGACGAAAAGTCAAATACTCTGGTTCTTGATACACTTGCTGGTATTGGAAGTTTTTTTACTTGTTCTTTTTTTCCTTTTTTTCCGGCATATAGTAAACTTGAAATGGCTGCGGTTTCTCAGCTTGCCTATTCCGTGCGTTTACAGAGCCTGCTGAAAGTGTATTTGAGGTTTAGAAACCTGTCGCGATGCCTTCACGACATCGCGCAGCCTTTGATGGATCCGACCGGTGCCGGAACATCTATTAATCCGGATCCACTTTACCGACACGTATATCTACGCGCCTCAACAGGCAGTCTAGAACGTAGATAGTCAAGCCGTCTTCTTATGACATTCCATGACGGAATAAGTGCATCGTGACAAAACCTAAACCTGTCCAGCAGCACCACCCAATCCCTGCGAGCAAGAAATATCATCCAATTTAACCCAATAACTGCCAACCTCAAATCATCATGTTAGGGACGCTGTATACCTGGAACCGAAAATCTGGACAGCCTTTTTTGCTTCGTCATTCAAGTTGTTACACATGGTGTGTATTCGCCCGAGCTCCTCTGATTGTGAGCCTCCTCTTGGATCCTTCAGTAGCGTATCCAGCAGACGCAAGAATGGCTCCACAAGATGCAGGTCTGAGAGAGCGTTTGGAGACATCGGGTTTTGTGTTAGATTATAGAGTATGCTGCGGGTTGCAGCAAAGAAAGCGTGGAGTAGCATCCTATAATGAGTTAAAAAGCATTCAGCACAGCTATAGGTCTCAACAAATCATTTACCAGACACAAGCGCGGTCTCCTGGAGGGATAGCTGCAACAAGACGGATTGCTCTGCGTGACTCGACAAGACATAGAGTACCTGGGTGTAATGACACCTGAGGCCGACCAACCTCTTGGTTGAAGCGAGGTTGTACCATCGGAACCAAGTGACGATCAACCATTGCCAAACAATGAATGTATGTGAGCCGTAAAACCACTTTGTGTATCATATAGCCTGTTATTCGGCATCCTGGCAACGATGTGGGGTCGTCTGGCGAATCCAGCTGAGCACTGGCATTCCAGCGCGATAACAACGAACTCAATGCTTGTGCCGCAATTGCTCTTTGCGTCTCCGTTTGTCGTCCAGCGTGGACAGAGTACAACTGTTTGTAGACCTGTCCCTGAATAACCGCAAGCCCGATGCGATGGTTGAAAAGGTCCTCGTAACCTGACGCAAGGTTCGTATTTGATGGTAGTCTGATATCCATCTCATCATCATCTTGATTGAATGGGCAGCACGTCCGTAGACTGATGTCCTTGTCTAGAATATAGATTTTCCAAAATACCCGCCTCCGCTGCTCAGCTTCGGACTGCGTGAGGCCCATGCTTGAACAATCTCTATGTAGATCCATAGCCTGTGCTAGTCGTAAAGCGGCGGCTACAAGCACTGAGGCTGGCTGTGGATTTGGTGTTCCCTGAAGAATGCAAGCCATACCTACCAGAGCTTGAACGGCAGAAAGACTACGGTTAGAAACGCTTAGTTCGGCGACAACGCCTAAGGCGTTTCGCATGTATCCAGACGCTAAGTGGTTCTCACGCTCCGGGTCCGATGAACGCAGGGCGCGGAGGCGATGAGCTATCGACAGCACGACATTGAGACATGCCCACCAATCAGCATCTCCCGGATTGGAGGTCGAGTACTTGAGCTGAAAGTTTCCCAAGAAGTCATCTTTATCGAAAAGTGGAAGGAATCTGTTATAATTGGTGAAAGTTTCATTGACCAGCTCCAGAGCAAACGCTGTTGTAGGAAGTTGCTGCTGGGCTGGCCGAGAGAAGGCTCGCAACTCCGGAGCGGAGTACGACAATAGTTTACCAATGAAACGACCAGTTTTATCACCCTCAAGGGTAAGCAGTTCGGTTCCGCTGTGGTTGTAACTGATCCCAGGCGTTGTTGTCTCACTTAAAGAGTTGTTTCCCAGCAATGCTTCCACTTCGAAAAGTCTTTCCTCGAGTTTTGCGATGTATCTAAAGCTGAGATGTTTAGCACAAGTAATTCTCATGGGATGTTGCATCAGACTAACCCAGCTGGTCTGCGAGGATTCTTCTTTGTTGTGATTGGCGTGAAGTGGCACCTTGAGTGATACTTGGTGCACTGAACGCATCCTTCCATAGTAGGGTCACAACGGATCTTTCTTCTCCGACACCTGTCGCAAGCCTTTTGTGAAAGAAGCGTTAGCAGAGTAAGTATGAGGAGAGGTTTTTGGTGACTCACACGAGTAATTACTTGCTGCCCTTCTTCTCTAAAACTCGACGGATGCTGGAAATCTGGTTGAGATTCCATGACTTGCTATTCTAAAATTGTTTTACGGCTCAAAAGTTTCAAAAGGCAGAGAGAATAGACTGACAAGGAGACACTTAACCACTTCTCGTGAAGATGTTGGTTCCCAAGCCATGATAGTGCAACAGATTAGCCATATCAAGGAGATGGATTACAAATCAGAAAGGGGGGGTCGTTAAAGCGAGGGGGATGGGCGATAAGAGCGGCCAATCAACATATACGTGAAATGCATTGGCCGCCACTGAACTTGTGGGTGGGTTTACGGCCAAAGTGAGTAGATAGGTGTCAGCGACCCCCGTTATTCTCTCTTTCTTAGGCTCTATGCCATCAAAACGTTGCCCACAAACGCTAATACATGTTCACCGCTAGTTTGACACATGGCTGCAATCCAGCTTAGCGTGAGGGTATTAGGTTAGTTATCTGTGTTGCATCGCAACATCTGATCATCAGAGTTGCTCCATGTATGAAACGATACTGGTGTAAAATACTCACATGAGCCTGTACATGCGGTTAAGTGCTGTCATGCCCCTTAAATCAACATTGACACAATCAGCGCTAGCTCTTAGGAGGCTTCTTACATACTCTTCATGTCCCCTCTCGACCCCATACTGCACAGGAGTCCGCTTGCACCCATTCATAGCACCTACATGAGCGCCTTTCTAACAAAATCCCACCATATCAAGATGCCTAAGTTCTAATACCATGGGCATAAAGGCTTTATTAAGTTTAGACTCTAATAGCCATATACCTTCTTTCTTGTGGGATGCGTAATCAGACTCCTAGTATCAATAGGACATAAATCAGAACATCTATAGATACCCTTTTGATGCCACGAAACTTACGTAGTTCTTCGTAAAAAAAAAGTTATTTCTGCTTCTATTCTACTATGTCCGGAGACGCAAAGCAGAAAAGAATGTCTAGCAAAGACCTTCGCAATTATAAGTGTGAGTCATCAAGCCTGATCTTGTAGGGTCACAAACTTGTTATGGGCGAAAAGCTATTCCCCCGGTGAAGTCGGGTTTCGAATAGCCTTTCGGGCTTCTCCTCACTAAATCTGCGGTCTGAGGCTGCTGTGAATTTGGAAAGGATGCATGCATTCTCCCATTCTTCTCTTCTTGATAGCTTGCAGCCGGGTGGGTTATTATGGGTTATTAAGACGAATTCTATGATCTATTGCGGGAGCCAATTTGGCAAAGTTCGCTTCTCATCTCGGTGCAGAATATCGTCTAATTGGTAGCTTTACTGTTCAGTATTGCTCTTCTTCGCCCTATTAGCGATTATCAGCACAAGGACAGAATTGAAAACCTCGGATATACTCATGGCTGCTTCATTTTCCTACTTTGTTCCCTTCGACGGCCTTTTCATTCGATATCGGCTAGCTAGGCTTTGGCACCAGTTCCATTATGTTCTGAGATCATTTCCACAGATGCCCAATTGCAGTTTTAATTGGATAATCTAGGATAGATGTGCAAGCATACATACGTTAGTACGATGCTAACTTGGATATTTTCCATCCGCCGGATCCAGAATATCTAAGCATGTAGCATTGGGCTCCAAAGGATCATTGTTTAAACCCTTTCCACTTAGTCCTTTTCCCGTGTTAAGAAGCCACTAGACAGAACGCAGTCCAATAGCAGTCCGCAGCACTTATATGCAGCCTTGCGGCTCAGCTAGACACCCCCATATAATTACATCGTTACTGTCGTATTAAGTAGCAGAGAAAAGCAGTATTCATGCGTTTGAAGAGCTAAATCAGTATGGATTAATCACGATAACCAATCAGGTTAAGTGTCAGTATGTTGGCAGCGCACAAAGGTACGTCTCACTTTGTAAGGTGGTATAAAGGCTCAAAACGAGAGTCTCTCTAGTATTACGTAAATAGAACATGGAACTGTTGCAGCGTGGTCCCCATTTTTAGCACGCTTCTGGTTATAATTTGACTCTCCATTTCACGGGAAAGTCGTAAAAAGACTCTTGGCGTTTGTATAAGTACACTTGGAAATCATATTTGGACCAACTCTGCAACAAGCGATTGGAGGCTTTGATATCCCATGCTTATCTCTCCAGTCTACAAAGACTAGTCTACAACCGACATTTGTGGTGGACGCCTCAAACCTGCAGAATGCCATCGTCACCTGAACCTCCCGGATTAGGTCCTTCTAAGGTATTATCCGCAGCGCATATGGTGGCTTAGGGTAAGTATTTAATAAAAAGCATGTTTACTCTCCTCTACTCCTTGTTCATGACTTCTCTTATCGTTGGCGAGTCGAACGAAGCCTTCTTGAAGGGATTTCAGACAGTATAATTAGTGGAACGCAGATATAGCGAAGGCATTTTCCCGCACATCAATGACAGATTTGCTGCTGTTAGGCTTAAGTTTTAGCTCTGTATTTCTAGGCGCCTGGACAAACGACTGTGAACGAAGGTTGCCGTCAAACAATATTCAGTGACACAGAAAATAAGAAGGTTGTAGTTATTCCAAGCTTTTTTACATACCTCCCTAGTATGAAGCCTATTCTTATACACTTCTCAATAAAACCCTACCATTGTCATATTGTTCTACAATATTTCAGTTTATGTTTTATTATTAAACATAGATCACAAGACACCTTGATAGTACAGGAGGAGCTTGAGGGCGTGTTCTTAGTGGCCAGCAAGAAGAAAAGCACTGCAGCTTCGGAAATACAGAAGCCGCAGAGTGGAGTGGCTAAACCTAAACTCCTCGGCCATCTTTCTCTGTTTAGCTAGGGACAGTTTTCGACTTCTTTCAAAGTAATCAGTGTGTAAGCTGATGAAGACTGATGGTGACCTTACGCCACAATAGCAATTTGGTTTGGACACAGGCAATTCCGTGTAGCTAGTACAATTTGTAATCGCCGGAGATATGGCTCAACGTACGCATAGGCCCTTCTGCTGGAAATCGTCTCGTATGTAGAACCTAACAAGAACAACCATGTTAAATTCCTCTAGCAAACGCTGCTTCATTGAACTAGCACATATAACCTAGGGACATTCCGTAGGGAGTTGCACCCTCTCTATAATAGCGGGCCTAAATGCCAGAAAGACTAGGGAAAGGGCCAGAAAATATTCTATTCTTATTGGAGGGAGTTAAAACTAGATATATAGTCACCACAGAGGCTCTTCGCCCTTTTGGGGAGGACCCTAGCGTAAACTAGCACGACAAAAAATGAAAGGCTTAGTTGTGCATTGCATAGAAGCGGAAACACTGCATTGTTTTGATAAATTTCATTAAATGTACATTGCCAACTTTGAAGGCCTCGCTGTGCTACGTCCAAAGGTATATGAGCGGCAGGAAAGTGGGTCCGAAGGGGGCCAGGAAAACATTGTTCTCAGTCAAGTGATTTTTTCTTTTTCCCTTTACACTTTCAGACTCCCACAGGATCATGCTGCCTAGATAAGTCTCTAATTAGGAGTATATCCAGATACACAACATGCACAGATTATTAGAACAGAACAACACACTTGCGCACACTTCTTCTTAGAATCCAAACTAGAGCCTCGTAACCTTATCAATACAGTTTACAGACAGTAACTCAAGAAATTAGGAGTCTTTTGCATTGTCTAGCTGATACTTTCACCCCTAATTAGACTTTCGAAGCTCTGACTAAGGAGATCTTTCGCTATTACCAGATAGGGAACCTGAATTGCTTTGTGTTGTGTAATACCGTTGTGTTCTATTCGCAGCTCTTCCACAAGTTACAACCAGAGTCCCTAAACCACACTCTGCACGCTTCCACTATAGCCTTCATGGCTTATGGGTTTCAGCGCCAGGAAGCAATTCACAGTAGAGTTGTTCGTTCAGTCAACTTGAAGATGATCTTCAACTTATATATTTAAATCCACTCCTACTCTAGAACTGCGTTCTATTCTTTTACCCAGCATCCTGAAAAGCCGACTCTTACAAGTGTTGGTTCCGTCCGGTCTGAGCCGTACATATCCTTGAGAAAGTCTGCACAATGCTCTGTATGGAAGGAATTGACAATCACACCGTCGAACGCAGCTCGGTCCTCGAACAGTGTCCAGAATTGCTTCTTCCATAGCATTGAGCAATGATTCAAGTGGTCGCGTATCGAGGTATAATAAATCTCCTGGTCACCCATGTCTTCCGGTGCAATGCGCTCCGATAAGTTGCGGCTGAAGAATCATCGTAAGTAAATGCTTTCCGCATAATGGGATTGATGACGACGTACTCCGCAAATGCAGCCCAGCTATCGTCATCCTGGTATTCTGTCTCGAACTCTTGGTCGAAGCACCGTTCGTGAACCCAATAATTCAACAGTGTATCATATCTGCACCCGTTCCTTTTTGCCTCAGCGGTTGAGTTACCACATGAGATATATTGTGCGGCTGATGTGACGTTGTGGAATGCTGCCAGGTAGTCGCCGGATATAGCGTTCTTGCTGCCCATGTTGCGCAATGAGCTGCTGCGTGTATTGTGCATGAAAAGAAAGAAAATCACGGCCCAAACAGCTGATGTTGCGAGAGATACCGCGGCATCGCGGAAAAGCCTGCTTCTCTGAGATCCGCTTTGCGTGACTTTTTGATCATCAGGAGTGACAATTGCCATCTCGCTGTCCTCTATTGAATCTCGCGCAGCTGGGTCATCTCGAAACCCTAAGAAGGGCTGCCGGTCATCGGCTTTTGACTCCATGGTACTGTAAGGAACTCCTTCCGTATGAGATACTGTACGAACTGTTGATTTGAATACTAATGATAAAGTCGATAGATTGTGAAGTGAATTTCTTTCTGAACAGACAATCACGTGGAACGAGGCTTGAAGCAGGCTTTTAGACCGAAGCGGCACATCAGCCGAGGGGCTGCCTCTCTTGCGTAGTTTCGTTTCACAGGCATGCCATCGGATGGTTTGCTTGTTTCAGGAAACCCTGAGTACCCACACCGTACCAGCGCACGTCCCATATTAAAACCACAGACACCCCTTGAACTCCGTCAACAGTGAGGACGGAGCTAAACTTTTTAGGCTTGCACGGCTGCGAAACAGAATTGAGACACTTGGCTCAAATCAGGCCATGTTTCTTATAGCAATCAAAGGTTTAATGCAGAGTCGGCATCGAATACATTGTTCATTATACGTTGTCCGATGTCTATGGAACAGGCCAATTGGGGCACACATACACCCCTTAATACTGCAACGCAGTCGGCCTGTGTGAAGCTATCCTGCGGAGGTCGCCGCGTATGGAGCCCTCTATTTACCATTGCACGATCATAGGCAACTATAATCATATGGCAAAGGCACTCTTTGCACATGTGACATCGCTAGGTTATTTACCCAAATGAAACTTACACCACATTGTTGCTTTAGTATTGAAGTCTAGGCAGATGGAGCCTTTTGTGGAAAGGCTGAGATAAAGAATCGCTACAGCCCATCTAGCACCGCGTGTGAGGCTCATATAAAGAATTATTTTCAATATTTACACGAAAAAGATACTACAAGAATTATGACTACCTCTTCAATTTTGATATGACCTCGAGCTTGTTTGCAGTTCATGTTCACTTGTATGTAAAGCCTCGCCAAGGAAAAGCTGCCAAAACATGTTATTGCCATCGTCAATACTGATGGACTGCCTAATAGGCAAATCTGATACTGAAACGACAAATTGACGAAAATTCGATGAGAAAGGAGCGAATTCACAGTAGTTTATTTCCATTATAAGATTAGTATATCTTAACTCAGACCTCCATCATCTATGCATGCACAACCCATGACAGATTGCTTAGGGTTATTATCTCAGGACATCATAGACCCAGCAACCGTATTTGAAATGCGTCCTCCACTTCAGTATTGATTTGCCGTATTCACTACAGAAAAGTAGCGCAAAAATGGCTTATGTATGGTCCATATGGGAGGGTTCATTCTTCCTTTTAGGCGATAGGGTCATATCCAGACCGAGAGTTATGGGCAGCGCGATTCGAAAACAGCCAATAGATGACCATACCAACGATCGGAAAGAGGAAGACCACGAGACACCAAAGAACCTTGTGACTGACAGGCCGGTTGGACTTCAGAACTTCAACTAGACGCGGAGCATGGTTAGGCACAATACTGACACCGGCAAGAATAAAGAATGCGTACGGAAGACAATGATGTCCAATACCAGGACAATGAATCCGAGAATACCGCCACCGGTGCCGTACTGCCAGGTGTTGCCGTGAGCTGCTGTTCCCAACGCGGGGTCAGAAACAGGTGCTGCGACAGCCAGCAAGGCAAAGCAGATCTGGAGGAGAAATCGAGTGAATATGGTGTTTCTCATTGTGCTGTCGGTTCCTCGTATTCTGGTGGTAATCAATATGGTCTCAGATTGTGGCGCAGAATAGGTTCAAAGAGAGCAGGGTATTAACAATCAACAGGTAAAAACATCTTCCGTTTTCGCCGTGGGCGATCAGCGGAATTAATCCTATCGGTGGAGTTGCTGATGACGTCACGCTTTGAGTCGTCTGACCAAGACGAGCTTTGCGCTATGCCCAAAAAGCTCATCGAGATCCAGCCACACAGTCGACCGGTGAATAATAAGCGGGACAATGATGCCCAGGTGACACTGGTGTCACGTATATGCCTCAAAATTTTAGTGAACCCAAATACCGCTATTTGAATCAGTAAAAGCATGGCGAGGCAAATCTAGTTTGGATTCATCTTTTTTCACGGCCTTATACAAAGATTTATAAACGTGGATATACTCAAACATATAGAATTTCGAAAGTTTCAACAGGTTATTAGAAACTAGATGTCTATTATGATATAATGAGTAGTAAGACGAAGGCCATCTAAGGATCCTAGCGTGTAGAGTCACGCCGGAAATACAAATGTCTGCTATATTCCCACTATTTCCACGATGTCCCCGGAGCTAATAGAAACAAACTGGGAACAATGGCGGATGGAAATCTATAACTCGCTTTTGATGAAAGCACCTTATTGCGACGAAGTCGCCTTAACAGAACTATCCAACGCATTTTTAATAACGGTCCCTGCCTCGGAGGCTACAGTACGGTAGGCCGGATCAAGGACCTTGATAAGAGCGATGATGAGATGGTTGGCGAGTCCTAATTGCAACCCACTAGAGATCACATCAAGCCAATTGTCGCCTCGAAGGAGTGTGTTTAATTGGTCGGCATTCTGTAGTGAGGCGCTTTTCAGATCACCCATTTTATCTTCAAGTAGCTGCAGAAGCTCCTGGTAATGTGGGACGATCTTCGTTTGTAAGACATCAACAATGCTTTTCGATGCGTCTGAAGTGACTGTGGGTTGTAAAGACTGAGTCTGGAGCAAGACGTCGTTGATCGCAATGTTAATAATGCCATTGCTGCTAAAGTTCTGGCAAATTTCGCCCACATCCAGGTTGCTATCGCTTTTTTCGATGCTACCTGTTACGGTTGTGATAGCTTCGTCAATAGTGTCCAGTCCCAAGAGAAGTTTCGTAACTTCGGGGGAGTTTGCAACATTTGTCGTAGAGACCACCGTAATAGATGTGGTCGGTACTGAGACAACTGGCACAGACGCTGTCGATATAGAGTCCGCTGGGATAGACGTGGTCGGTACTGAGACTACTGGCATAAACGCCGTCGATATAGAGTCCGCCAGGATAGAAGTGGTCGGTACTGAAACCACTGGCATAGACACCATCGATATAGAGTCCGCCGGGATAGACGTGGTCGGTACTGAAACCACTGGCAAAGATGTGGTTACCACAGAGTCAAGGGGGGTCGAAGAAATTGGCAGAGCCAAAGCTGAGGCCAATGCAACCGAGGAGAAGGAGGCGACGAAGTTGGGAATACGCATTCTAGATGCTGTGACAATGAGCAGAGTGGTGCTTTACCAATATTTTAGGAATATTGAAATTCAGCGCTTGATATGATTATGTAGATAAGTAAATTGCTTTAGCTGTAAGGACGTTAAGGAAATGATTAACTTTGGATATTTTCAATCGTATGTAGATTTGTCCTGAATTTGTACACATCTTAACTCCGGGATCTAGCAAAAATTCTAGACTTGCCGTTCAAATTGTCTTTGTCCTCTTGTCTTAGATATTGACCCTAATGTCTTTGTTCTTTTTCTGTCTAATTGAACTATTACGACTTATGGGTCCCGATAAGCCCTAGGGTCCCAATTCAGGAGGGTTAACCTTTAACAAACACGCAGTAGTCATATCATAAAGACCGAGACCGTTTTCAGGGAAGGTCTAGAAGTCGACAGGCTGCATGCATGCTGTACTAAAAGGATGGCAGGTTGTGGGAATATCTGATTCTAAGCCACCATTCTTGAGGAACAGTCCAGAGCCAGTCTAACAGACTAGCATATAAGCCCACAGGAGGCTTTCGGGATCGTCCCGGGGGCATCACTCAGCCTATACCCTTTTTAGCAGTTAGCTTGCGTCCTATGAATCAGGCTTTTCTATTTGCCGCGCCACTTTCTAACTCTTTGTTATTTCTGCTTTGCCAATTGTGTCTTTTTAGTTCCCAGTTATAGGGGAGCTCAGTATATTAGAGTGCAACTACTAGCATTAGTGTAGTCAGCAGCGGGTTATTACTACCTGTTAGTTACAATAGCTAATTGTTGTGCTCACCCTAGATACCCGAGAGCATAAAGAACAGCCACATTCGTCAGCACCTGCGGATAAGACACTCCGTCTCTCTATTTTGTTACCCTAACTAGTATTCACGCCTTAGAGGGAAAGACATTTCCTCTACCTCGCTTTCTCTTAAAACAGGTGAGACCTCTACACACACATCCAAATAGTCTAGATTAAAGATTCCATTTATGGAATGACTGCGACTGCATAGTCTGGTGTGGCGTTCTATCACCAATGGCTAGTACGAGAGACTTTGCTTCTGGATCGGTATCGGACTGGGAGTCAGGCTCCAGAGGCTGAATCATCTGGATTGCTGTGGCATTGATCTTAGGTGATACGGCTGTCGCTGTGTTCACTATGTTAATATGCACGCTCAGTGACTAGGCATTTCCCGTATGCATACGCTGTCGACTTCCCGAGCTTTGTGAGCAGCTCACTATCTTTGGACAGAAGAAAGCCACATTTCAGTATTGAGGACGACTCAGAACCGCTATTGGATTACTCTTAATCATCTGCATTACTTGTTCACATTAGCTCTCTGTCGTACTAAGACGACGGATGGTCCGCCTCAGCCTATATATGGTGGATCTCATTCAACTAGGTTAGCATCTGTCGCGCGGGACCGCGCAGTGGGTTGTTTACGTGTGAGACTCCTGATCCCAAACGGGTATATATTGGCCCATCTGCACACTATCCCCCTTTGTATAGTCGAACTATTTCTACCAGCTACATCTAGATCCCTCTTGTGACATCATCTTATTTTGTATTTATGTTTATTCGATTTGGCCCTTCAGTACCCCTCATGGCTCTGACTTAAGATTTATTGCTGTTTCAACGCTCAGCCATGTAAAAATGTGCTATTGTGGAGTAACAGAGGTGCTGGATATATTGGTAAATGCTATATATTCCTTTATCCTAGTAAGACACTTTTGACATAGTATTGTCAAATACCCCACACTGCCTTCTTGCTCTATGATACCATCTTCCGACCCTAATATCGTTTTGCTTAGCTTGGCTGTAGGGTAGTGGAGTCTAGTGTTTAGGAAGCTGCGGAGATGATGGACGAGTTTAAAATGGTTCACATTATCAACGTGCTGCTCTTTTTACGGCCAACTGATTGGATCACGAGTGGGATCTTTGATATTTATATGTTAGAGAGCCTGTATACCACGATTTTTCATATTTCTAGCGATGGCTTTCCCATGCCCTCAGCTCATATATTCAATGATCTCCAGGACTCAGCTTGTCTATCGTAAATGTCTTTTTTTACTGTTCATTGTTTTTGGCCTGATCACATCAGGTCCGGGAGTTGCTGTCAAGACTCTACAAAACTCGAAACACGGTTCCAGGCCTTCTTCTTGGGTTCCTTCTAGCGTTGCTCTGGCTGCTGGTTCGCATCATCGTCACACTCTTCTTCTTATATCTACAGAAGACAGCATGCATGTACACCATGCTAGAGATGACTTTTTGCCTAGAAGATCGGTGTTTTAATTCATTTTGGGGGTTTGATGCGCTGGGAACACCTAAAGAAGTCACCTCTTATCTTAGGGGGGGTCCTCCTTTGCCTCGTGGCGGCGCTTCTGCTATCTTTTAACGCCACACATCTGTAGAGTGGAAGTACAACCACCGCCTCCCTGATTAGATTCCCTTAGTCCCATCTAGCCGTCAATGTTTCAGTCGGTAGACTTGTAGATCGACAAGCTTTGCAGCAAGGTGTTTGTCAACACATGAAAGGACTTTTTCTTTGCGTTGAAAATGTCTATGATTAATGAGCAATGAAATCAGATTTCGCTTCATCATAAGTCAAAACACCATTTTACATCCAAGAACATCTCATCTACCGTCGTAATTGCTAAGCCTTGCAGCAGTCTCTTGGAATATCTTGACAGAATAATTGACATTAAAACGTGCCTTTGTTGTCAATAAACTTATGGTCCGCTGTCTCGTAGTTGAAAAGATTCCATTTGTTCCAGGCAAGCGTCTCAGAATCAATTTTGTGTCTTATGCAAGGTTCCTCTCGATCATACGTTTAACGGTGACTTTGCCGAGCCGACATCGCTTTTTTATCCAATACATGAAGCCTCTCCGAGTTAGAATTAGACGCAAAAACATATGACCAAGTGCCCATTCTAGTATTTTGGCTGCGGGTGCTTGTGAGCTAAATTCTCCTCGTCCTAATGTTAAATTGGTCGATGACCAGGTTGATAATGTCAATCGACAACCATCAGTGATCAAATTCGTCCTTATACAATTGCTTTTCTGAAAATGTCCATAAATTTCCATACGTCTTGGAATGTGCAATACAGAGGCACCGGCGCAATACGAATGACACCTGGTTTCCGCTTGTCACAAACGACACCTTCACTAACGAAAGCCTCAGAAACACGGTCCAACATGCCGTTCCTCAAGAGGATGCTGAGCTGAGCACCTCTTTCATGTGCGTTTCTTGGCGTAATGATTCGGAAAGCTGGTTCACTGCCAGTATCGTCTGCCAATATAGTGTCTAGCAGGTGCTCTGCGTACGCCGTCAGCACGAGTGACTTCGTTCGCAGTTCAGTCATGTTCGTCTTGCTGAATACGGAAAGAGCACCCGAGAGCGATGCTAAGTCAATCGCTGAAGGGTTCGATAATTGAAAACCACCAGCACCGACGGTAGGAAGGAAGTTGTTATCCATATCGAATCGTACAGATTTGTCGCCTCCGTACCATCCAGTGAGTCTGTGTCGAAACTGTGGCTTGCCCTCACTTGTGTCAACCTTTCCGTGACGTTCGTGCACGAAGGCACCGGCCATGGATCCTGGTCCTGCATTCTGGTATTTGTAGGTACACCATGCAGCAAAGTCAACGTTCCAGTCATGAAGCTTCAACTCGACGTTACCAGCTGCGTGTGCAAGGTCCCAGCCAACGATGATGCCCTTTGACTGGGCGTATTCAGTAATGCGAGACATGTCGAAAAGCTGTCCGCTGTAGTACTGGATACCTGGAAGTAGGATCAAGGCAGTTTCCTCTGCGTGCTCATCGATTGTCTTTAAAATCGAATCCGTAGAAATATAGAAGTTCTCATTTGGTTGCATCTGGACCATCGACTTGGCTGGGTTCAAGCCATGCCACTGGATCTGAGATTCGATGACATACTTCTGACATCAGTAAACATTTCAAATCATGTCGAGGCAACAGTAGCTTACATGATCACTTGGAAATGGCCTCCATTCAAGAATGATCTTGTGCCTCTTCTCTGTTGGTCGGTAGAAGCTAGCCATCAAGAAATGCAAATTGACCGTCAAGGTGTTCATCATAACAACCTCCTCAGGCAAAGCACCGACAATTTGCGCACTCTTCTTCGCTACATCCTCTGCCATGTCTTGCCAGCACACTAGTGGGGAGTTTTCGAGTCCCCGAAAGTGACCGTTTACCCCAATTGAGGCCCAGGTCTCCAATTGAGCATGAATGTACTCCTTGACTGCCTTGGGTGGAACTCCCAATGAGTTGCCACAAAAGTAGACTGACGGGGTTTCGTCGTCTGCTGTTGACTTGCTAGCTGAATGAATGCCGTTAACACCGGTTGCTTGACCATTGAATGCTTGCTTATCTGTATCAATATTCAGCAAAACAAGACTTCGCGAAAGAAAACCAAGCTGCCTGATTACTGTCCTTTCGGAGTACTTACTGGGAAGGGTGCCATTCAAGGACTTTTTCTTCAAAGAACCCTTTGTCGGTATAATGAACTCATCACGCAGGTGCCCGAGACTGTCTTGTGCGTCAAGTTTCTGGGCGAATTCAAAGCTTGTCGCATTGGCAGGGAAGTTGGCCGGGTGACCGGATTGGATCTGCTCTGCAAAGGTAGTAAACTCCATCTTCAATCGTACAAAAAGCTGTTATCAAATGCAGCTGATAAACTGAGAATCAAAGATGCAACACAATTTTTAGAAGACGCTGGGCATTTCATATGTCTTTGTACTAAGTGTCTCCTCTCGGAAACTAGGATAATAGCGCCGCATCGTCATTCCGTATTCCACACGCGGCCCCTCCTAATATCCGCCTTCCGCTTCCGTTCAAGCTTAGCGCATCCGCCTGTAACCGATCCGGACGGGTCTCGGCTTGACCCACTTACACCTTGGGTTGACAAGAGATTCCTCAGGGTATGTAGAACGAAGTCAACGAGTGATGCGGGAGTAGAAATTGGCATTGCGATTGCGTAAAATACTTCTTCATGTCAGCATTCCTGACTCGCATTGAGTTTGTTCTTCACATCTGATTCAACAGCTTTTTGGATCTTTGTTCCATCAAACCTAGCTTTTCAGCTGCCGCCGACGACTGGTTTCGAAAGCCTCTTCTATCCCGATGTCTCCCCACGCCCTACCTATATCTCCTGAGATAGCACAGATCGATACATTTCCTCTTTGGAAATACGCCATCACCCCGAATGGTTTCCTTCCTGCGGAAGCACCCCTCAAAGTCCTTTCCGATCCCTATTTTGCACCCTGGGAAAGGGTCATTCAACACCTTCCCGAAACTCTCAAAGCTGGAAAGTTGCGGAGAGAAGTGGAGTCTCTCCCCGTATTGTCGATAGATAAGCTACGAAACGAAGCGGAGTGTAGACGGGCGTACGTTATCTTGGTTTTTCTGGCTCATGCCTACATTTGGGGCGGTAAAAATGCCGCAGAGGTGAGTAACTAATCACCTTTTGAATTCATATTTCAAATTTCTCATATCGAAACTAGGTTTTGCCGCCGGCTGTATCAGTACCTCTCCTACGCGTCTCTAAGGCCCTTGACGTTCCTCCCGTTGCGACTTACGCTGGGCTAAACTTGTGGAACTTCTGGTCAAACACTGAAGACTTCACCGATCTGGACTCGCTAGAGTCTCTACACACTTTCACCGGCACAAAAGATGAAGCTTGGTTTTACTTGGTTTCAGTGGCCATGGAGGCACAGGGTGCCCGTATCATCACTGATGCACTTAACGCACTAGAGTCTATGAAGAGAAGGGATTATCCAGCTATCACAACAGCACTTGATGGATTCTCTGCCAATATTCGACGAATCGGTGCGCTCTTGGAGCGCATGTACGAGCATTGTGATCCCATGGTCTTCTTCTATGAAATCCGCCCATTCTTGGCGGGCAGCAAAAACATGGCGGCGGCTGGTCTGCCCAACGGTATATTCTACGACGAGGGAGATGGCCGTGGTAACTGGCAGCAACTTCGAGGAGGTAGTAATGGCCAGAGCTCCCTCATCCAATTCCTTGACATTGTGTTGGGCGTAGAGCACACATCAGAAGGAAACAGCACCCCGCACACGAGCAAAAGCACACCCAATCAAACAAAAGTGTCGGGATTCCACGAGGAGGTCCGCAATTACATGCCTGGGCCACACAAGCGGTTTCTCGAACACGTTTCCCGCATGGGCAGCATCCGCGAGTTCGCCAAGTTGCCAGTTTCCACAGCGGAACATGAAAGCCTCCGAAAGGCGTATCAACTTGCGATTAAGACCATGACGGAGTTCAGAAATAAGCACTTACAGATCGTTGCCCGCTACATCGTTCTTCCTTCAAAAAGGGCATACAGTGGCGCCAAAGTTGATTTGGCAAGCACATCTGCTCTCCAAGATGAGCAGCTCACTGGCACCGGGGGAACAGCATTGTTGCCATTCCTTAAACAAACCAGGGACGAGACCCTAAAGACTGGTCAGTTAGAGAAGGAGGTACGAACGTGATCAATTGCTCCTGTTTCATGATACATGATATCCATAGAGTTATTACCGATGCCGTTGGCAAGGCTTTTGCACGAATTTCAACTGATCCAAGAGCAACAACAAATTGTCACCCGCATGTAACGTTGCCTTGATGTGCATTCATGCATATAAAGATAGTTCGACTAATGAGGAAAGTCGCATCCGCTTGGCTTATATCTGTTTTTCTGCTAAAACGCGGAAGATGGTCTGTGTATCTTCGGTAGACCCCATCGGTTCCTCGCTGCACCCAGCATTGTCTTATTAGTCACAGATCAGCGGAACTTGGTGCTAGGGAGTTCATGACCCGCTCTCGTCGTATCCGGTGGCATCGCCCTCATGAGCACAACTTCGGCTATCACCAGGTTTGTGCGTTTCAGATAAACTCTCGCCCAGCTTTTGCCATGACTCAATGCGAGGTTGTGCATAGTATTAAATGTCATCAGAATGAGAACGATCACGCCGCTCAGCTGAACTGATGGAGAACACTTCCTCGTGTATCCAGTTTTAGCATCGAAGCCTACATCGTCGACGAATCGAACAATATTGAGTTATCATAGATACGAGCTTTAGTCACAGTGTCGCATTTCAAAGCTTCATAAAGTCCACGAGATTCAACCACTTTCATCTTAATGGAACAGGAAAGGCTCCGTTGACCCTATCAATTATCACTTGATAGGATGTTCCATAACCACCGATCTATTCCATGAACAGATGCCTTACACTTCTACCGTTCCTGCATAGCAGAAGTCCAGTCTTATTGTCAAACTGTCAGTCATTCAGGGAAAAGCGGGATACCGAAAGGTTGTCTTTATCATGACTCGATACTTCCAAGCGAGTATGAACCAGAATAGCTTCTACTGACGACTTTCAAAGCACCCATCGACTCGCAATACTGTGGATATTACCCGGTTTCTAACTTTTGATGTTATTGATTATTAATCAAACTATTCAATACACTGTTTCAGAAGTGCGGAATCGCCCGTCAACTCGGAGATGTCATGAGTACTGATCGGATTGACTCACATGTGTCCATCCGACCGTAATGCGCATCCAAGACGGCTTCGGCTGCGCTAACACAAAAAAGGCTTTAACCCATGATCCCGATTCTACGTCACGGGAGCTACACAGAACGTCCGGCTCAATATGGCGGATGGCTTGATATGCGTAACGTAGTGCGTTGTGGGTCAGCCAAGTCATACGTAAGAGTGCTAGGCCGGGTTCTCGGATGTTCGATCTAGAGGCACAGTGCAACCTTCATCGTGCGATTCATCGGAATTACTGTACGGAGTCATCGTCACGGGGCTCCTTCATTGGGACTTGTAATGCCATCACCTAACCAGGGCTAGCGTAGAATCTGTTCCGAAGTCCGAAAGTTTTCCTGATCTCGGCAGATGTGGTTTCCTTCTCCGTGTCCGATTTTCTCCCTTCCGATAGAGTGTGCCTGCAACAACAAAGTAATATCGGCGGCACCATCATGGACGGTGTCTCGGTTCGGCAGCCATCGCCGCAAACTTATATTCGCACAAGAGTTGCCAACGCGTGCGACAGTTGTAAAGCTCGAAAAGGTAACATGTCCACCAGTATTGTGACCAACCTCCCTGTGCTCTTAGGTCCACGGAGCAATGGCGGAATTACGGCTTATTTTGCATATCATACTCCCGCAGTCCTCTTAATCCCGGCTCTGACATTCGGATGTAGTCAAATGCGACGGAAAACTGCCATGTAGTTACTGCTTGAGACGCCACCGTCCTTCCACCTGCCGGTACTCACCACAGCAGAGACGAAGAGCACCGGCTCCCATACCAGGAACTCCTCCTTCTCTAAATGCACATGTTCATGACGGACAGAGTTATCAGGCCGAATCTCGACAGTCGGGCTCGACAAACGACCCTTTGGTTGAAGAGGAGACTGAGGTTCCCAGGGAGGCGCGTCTGTTATGTGATGCCCAAGGAAAGCTGAGTACGTTTCATATTTCCAAGCTGACGCCTCCAACTGACGGATGAGAATGTAGTTTTCATTGGAGACTGCGCTCCATTGTCGTTCTTCCAGACCGTCCGCCAGCTTGTCAACACACGCGTAGATCCACAAGTCTTCGCGCATCAAAGTGAAAATCCCCCTTTCAGACCGCCCACCCACTACTCCGGCAACGATGAGCCTGGCCTACATCTGGCAACGATAGCCGAAGCCATTTCTACCTATCATGCAGTTGTAAGAGAGTTTGAGATTCCCGATCGAAAGAGCAAACTTGATGACCGTTCGACGTTTTCCGCAGACCAGTGGCCTTGTAGATCTCTTCGACCATGCGCATTTTGTGGATGAGGTGGGATCCTGGGCCCAACAAACACACCGCTTACAGGATGCATCATCTGCGACTTTCTATCTCGTCCTTGCCATAGGTTACCAATCTTCCGATGAAGACCGTGCCTCGTCTTACTTTGAATATGCACGCAACATTGCGTTAAACAACCTCAGTGGTAATATTAACATCCCAACAATTCAGTCTTTCACTCTCGTTACTCTTTACATGCTCGGGTCATGTCAAATGAATGGAGCATTCCTGTTTTTTGGTAAGTCAGACATAAAATGAAGTTCTACGTAAGAAATTCGCTATTAATATTCCTTTCCAGGCATCGCAGTTAGAGCAGCATACTCGATTGGGTTACATCGCACAGAGATCAACAGTCGATTTGGCCCCGAGATACATAGACAAAGGTACGGAACCGGTTTTCAATCCCATCATGATATGTTTTGTAGCAACTGACTATTTCTTATAGGGATCGATTATGGAAGAGTTTGCGCGTGCTAGATCTCTTCTTAAGCACATCAATGGGCCGCCCTCCCGCTACATCTGATGTCGACTGCACTGTGCTGTATCGAGCAATAAACGATGATGGACACGAAACATTTGATCTTCTCAATGCGTCTGCGCAGATTTTTCTGATCACCGAAGGCATCGTAGTAGAGGTTTATTCAAGGAGGAAGGTCTCCTATCAGCTGACTGAGGGCATCTCACGACAGCTACGAGACTGGTCAATGCGCTGGTTGCAGAGATTGAAAGATGTTGTGTCCGTTTCCTCAACCGAGGACGACTTAAGCAAAATAACAGGGGCCTGCCAAGTGCTTTGCTCTTACTATTATGGTGAGACTCAGATCTTATGGCCCGACTAGATTTTGACAGATACTGACCCTACCACAGCCGTTATCTTAGTATCTCGACCTTTTCTGATGTATGAACTGCACAAGCGTCTGACTGATAATTCTGCGGGTGGCTTCATTGGTAAAACTGGAATCGTGTCTGGCAAGTCAAAACTTGCCGATGCATGCATCGATGCGGCAAGCTTCATGGTAGATATCTTGGTCAACCTCACAGAGAGAGAGTACCTCAACGGGCACATGCCGCTGATAGTGTGAGTATACTCAACTTACGGCCATTTGCCTTCAACTAACCGAGAAAGGTCATGGTTATTCGCTTCATCACTTATATTAGGCGTAGGGTTGCTTGGATCTTTCGGCCGAATTTTGGAGAAATACACCCGAAACTCCATCATGGTCCTAGAGCATTTTGCCAAAAGTGATGCACATGCTTCACAGTATTCGCTTATTGCAAAGTCCTTGCTCAACGCAGCTCTTGATTACTTGGAGAAAAAGGAGCTACAGGAGCGAACTCAAAGAACAGAGAGCTCCTCGCAGCTGTTTGGCCTCGTGCCCCGCGACAACACAGAGGCTAATGGGGGCGCCCATCCTACAACAAACGACTATGTCACACCTACGAGCGCGGGCCGGACACTAAATGCAAAGTCTAACGATTTGTTTTCGGGCTTCTTGGGTCTAGACTCATCGTCATTCGCGGATTTGGGTGCATCGTTTGTTGGTCTTTCCGCGTCTCTGCCGCAAACCCCAGACTTGTCTGCACTTGCCGGAAGAAATGATGTCGATCATAGCTTCAGTGATCTCAACCTTTTCCAGCTTCTTGACGGTGACGGTCATATCGACCTTGGTCCTTACATTTAGATAGCACAGCAATACACAATATATTACTCTTGCTATTACAACTCGTTTCCTTATTTCTTGTACTGTTGGTTTTCACTGGCTAATTGATGGGATCCTGTATCTCGTGATATCACAAAGGTTGGGAAAAGGTGGTCAAATTTGTGGTTATTAATAGTTAACTAGTTAACAAGGTGAAGTAGGAGCACAAGTGTAGTAGCACCCTTGCGTATAGGCAAGGGTAAGGGATTTTACCAGTAGGCAGTGTATTACGTGACCTACTGCCTCTAGCTATATCACCTATATACTAACACTAGTAACTTTCTTGTGTAGTAAAAGTCGCTAGTGCTCCTATTTCTCCTAAAAAGCCTAAAAACGTAATAAAAACAAGAAAAGCAAAAGTATTACACTTTTTATAGTTATATACTACTATAAATTTATTTATCTATTTACTTAGCAGAGGTAGGCTTACACTATCTTATTTAGGTGTATTTTCTCTTTAGCTATAGCTATTAGAGGCATATACCTACGTTAAATAGATTTAACTACTGTTAATCTATATAGTTTATATAACCTATTTTCTTCTCTAAGTGTCTATTATCCTATATCCTATTATTCTTATTATTTTCTATTATATTTATATAACTTATCCCTTTATCTATATTTTTACCTTGTTATAAGAAATAAGACTCTTAAGTGCTTAGTTTAGTAAGGACTTTATAAACCTATTAGTAAGGTTATTATTACTATAGATCTATTATACCTTAAAAAGCTTATATTACTTATATAATTATTATAGTACTATAATATTAATTATTAAGCGCTTCTTATAGGTAGTACTTAACTTTACTAGGCACTTATATAGTAAGTACAAGTTAGTGTAGGTAATAGTAAGGATTAATAGGTTACTAAGCTTGTTTACTACTATTATTATAGTTATAGAGAGAGTATATACTATATTAACACTTTTAACTATACTATAGACTTCTAACACAAGAACACTTTATATTACTTGTTTAGATTTAGTTAATAAGAAATAGAGGATATTACTATAGAGGGTAAACTTACCTTACTAGTTATTAACCTCTTTATTAGTAAAAAGATAATAAATCCTAACTATAAAGTTAAGTTATAATTATTAGTAAAAGATCTATTAATAAACATAAAGAGCTTTATGTTA